GTTTTCCCCCAACCACTTTGGACTAATGGGGATAATCCTGTTGGGTAGAGTGAGCTATAGTGCCATGAATACATCTTTTTATTCTTGGCACTATACTATAGTATCCCTTAAAGTATGATTTTAACAATTTAATTACAAATGCATGCACCACTGCTTTTTTCCCCATACTTTTGACTACATATATAAGCTGCCCTAAAATTTTCTCCAGTTGGGTCACACTGACTAATTTATGAAACTTGTATAATTAATCCCACGCAAAGACATAAGCACTTCATGTACCCTGCGCAAGTGCATTTATACTAATTGGGCTTGTTACTCTCCGATTTAATGCTTTAGGCAGTCTGAGAATTTTACACTTGCTCCCTCAGTGTCCATGGACCAATCTCCTAAATGTGCTAGAAACGATGAATAGCATTATTAATTCTTTTTTCAACCCCAGCGAGACGACGTAATTTAGCAGGTGCTAATGAACTGTTTGGCAATATTTTCTTGCAAAGTAAGCATTGTGCTTCAGGACAATCTTCATTTCTGGCACTTGTGAATCCAAATGACAAGTAGCTGTCATCATATTTTATTTTCTTTGTTTGACAAGAAAATTGGGTAGCATTGTGTGCTTTTCTTTTTTTTATTTGACTTGTCACTTGTCTCTGCTATTTGAGGAACAGTAGATTTAACTATTTCAGACATGTTTTCTGGATTTCTTGTTGTATCGCCTTTCTCTTTCTATAAGTGCCGAACAGCTAAAAGTAGTAGTAATCTTTCTCTGAGTAGTTCCCTGCTTTAACCAACTGTCCAAATTCATGGTTGTCGATTTTTTTACCTGAAGCTGAGAGCAGCAAGGTGAATTGTTAGCGTAGGACTCACCTAAGAGCTTTGCCTCTATATGGCAGGTGAGTTAAACACTTAAATGGCCATTAAAGTGATACTAAAACCCTCCCGTTATTAACATGAAGAGGACTTCAGGCCACCTTCCTTTTTATTTGTCAGCTTAGGGTCCATGAGGTTATGCAGCTGCTCGAGGCTCCTCTTCAATGTGTAAAGCACCCTGAGCTGCAGATAAACAGTTCCTCAAACAGGAATCCCTACTTAGCAATTTCAGGACATATCAGCTAAGGTAGCAGATTTTCCAGTGATTGATCCAATAAACTCTGCAGGAATGAGGGGTTTGTCCGTGCCACTCTTCATGTCCACTGAACAGGCTGACTGGATTTTGTCTCACACTCTGTTTATATGCATTCCCAGTTTCCCGCCGTTTCGCAGCTCATAATCTGTGTCCAATCCCAGGCCAGCTCCAGTCTCCTGGCAACAGCACTGTCATCTACATCTGCTTAACTGGCCAAATCTGCCCAGCAACTGATTCCCTCCTTCTAAACTAACTCACATAGTATATTAACTATTAACCTTATCATTGCCAACATGCAAATATTACCTGTTGTATTTATATTTATTAGCGAGGAGCATTTTTCTAATTATCAGATATGTATATAAAAAAAGGATATGTTTTCCTGGCACTGGAGAGTCCCTTTAAGGCAAGATTCCCCAATACGTTTTTAATATTTTCTGAAATCGCGCCGCGTTTAATTTGGACCAAGCAGTGGGGTTTGAAGGCTTTGGAAAGAGTTAGGCGTAAAGTGAATAGAGCCATTCATAAGTTCATACCGTTTTTAGGAGGTATCAGTATTAGGCATGTAGATCTGGAGAGGGTTATCAAAGGCTTTTTTTTTAAGAATGGAGTTCATCTTATCTGAAATTGGGATTGAGATTTTTAATAATGGTTTACAAGAGGGGATAGAAAAGGCCGCATGTAGCGGAGATGCAATATTCCCCAGGTTATCTCCGCTTATAATCCAAGTGAGGCTCAGGAACAAGTAAATAATAAATCCATAGGCAAAGTTTCCAGCAGGTAAAACAACAGCAATATCCCCACAGCAATCCCAATAACTGGACGACACACAGTTTCAGGAGCAGAACTGAAAGCTTTTAATCCACAGTCTCCTTATAAAGCATGCTCCCATGCAAGGGAGGGATTTACAGTAATTATTACAGTAGCCAATCCTGTCCTGGTAACCTCCCACACATCTCCTCCCCTCAGCCAGCATCATAATCCCCTTATCCAGTACAGTAATTCCCCCCGTTTCTGGATGTACCCCTAAACGTAGGGGTACCTCTTTAAATCCTACATCCCCGGATACCCCTGATCTGGGGGAACAACATATCCAAAAATTAACCAGATCAGACCAGGGGTTCGGGAAATGTATGGAGGGAATAAAATGACCGACCGCACGAACGGAGATAGCCGAATACGGTTCCATACGAATGGGCCCTGCGGTCGGTCCTGGCATAAGGGAACAAAATACACGAAAGCCTCTAGCTATAGAGGCTAGGGAGGGTTCGCCTGAATCCCCTCGTTCAGTATTTTCTATCTACCGAACGAGGGGCCGTTCGGTAGTTTGGAACCGAACGGACCAGGTTTGTGGAGGTCTCAGCGGTGTTCGCCTACTCGAGTGTCCGATTTTAGTTCCAGACACTCGACGGCAAAACACCGCTGTTCGGGAGTTTTAAAATGGCCGCCGCCACGTGTTCGTTTGTCGAATGGCGGCCACCCCCGAGAACAAAGGACGGCTACTTCCTAGTCAATTACCCGTTCGCAACAATGTTGCAACGGGTAATTGAGGACACACTTTACACAGGGGAGGTCTGGTTGTTCGGTATTTTCATTCTAATAAACTAAGGGAATGAAACTACCGAACAATCAGAAGAATACAAGGCTTTTAAAACACATAGAAAACTAGCAGATCACACGAATGCAATTATTTCAAAGACATTTGCAGGACAGCCCAGTGCCATCCGCTACACCGTAGGATTGTGTAAGGGGCTGCAAATGGCAGAGGCTGGCTGCCATTGTGGCTTGTGGTAAGGGCGCCTCAAATACGAGGTGGATTGAAGCTTAAGGTTTAAGCAATCTGGCTGGCTCAAGGCCGGATTGTTATTGAATTAATTTTAAAGTGGGTTGTAATGCCTCTAAATACTCTCAATAAAGCTACGTCCTTTCCATCCAATTTTAAATGGTGTCTTATTTATTATCTGTTTTTTAGTTTGTTTCATTTATAAATATGATCATCTGTAGGACATCACTTTTCAGGTTGCGTGGCCATGTGGAGCTTTCTGTCCACGCAACCTGAGGGCAGCAGTGGGGCATGCAAAGCATTTGGCTTGCAAAGCCCGAAGAGGGAGAAAAGGTAAGTTTGTTACCGTCTAGTGCTGACCTGTCAAGTTTGATTTAGGAAGAAGTGGTCGTATTGCTATCAGTATCCCAGACAACATGTTCACCTGTAAAGGGACCAGGTCACCTTAACGTTCACATGTGCCAGGGTGATGGGCTACCCACACACAGTCCACTACTTGTGCACTTGCATACTGGCTTAAATTGACTGTATTCTATTACAAGTGCAGTGACTGTGAGCACATAGAATCATGCTTTCACATTACACTTCACCTCACACACTTGGAGACAGGGCAAGACTGAGTAAAAATGGTGTGTCACATGGTGAAATCATGTTACTTGGTAGGTTAGACTAGTGCATACAAAGTGCATCTCAATATGTCAAAGCCATTTTTTAGGTGCTTTGGAAGACTATATGTCTTGATTCACACAATTGTAAGTTATAACTTGACAGTCTCTGGTCATAAATAATCCCCATGGTGTAGGTAGGGGAGAAGATGGGGCCACAAATTTTCCCCTTCCCCACCCCGAAATTTAAGGTTTTAAGATAATGTCTCTGGGTTTGTGTTGGCTCTATCACTTCTCAGTAGTTCATATTGATGTGATCTCTATAAAAGTAATGCTAACGCCAAATATACCATAAGACAAAGTAGGGTCTACTTATGGGAAAGTCTTAAAAACTCAGCCTTCAACCTTTGTCCAATCCCAGCAACCATAGTGACTGCTGTGGGACATACTTTTATCATCTGTAATTTCCTAGTTTCCTCCATGGACCTCACATTTGGCAGATTATTATATTTATATAGCACCAACAAATTCCGTAGCGTACAATGAGTGGACTAACAAACAGGTAATTATAACCAGACAAGTTTGACGCACAGAAACACAGGGGTTGAGCTTACATGCTAGAGGGACACAAAATTTAAGGTAAGTATTAGGGAAGTAGATTGGTAGAATAACATTCAATGAAGACTTGAGGTTTTCTTTGGAGCCATTAACAGTTTAATTAATGTTTTTGTGATAATGTGAGTTTTTAATGATTTTTTTAGGAGTGGAGACTGGGTGAGCATCTAACGGAAATGAATTAATATGAGCTAAAAATGGTCTCCAGGTTGAAGATGGCAGCGGCGCGAGAGCCAGTTTCATGTAGGAACCTCTACATTTGACTGCACCCCACAGCCACCGCACGCCAGCCAGAAATGTCACTTTTTGGGGTCTTTGCTAAATATACAGACCCTCTGAAAGCAACAGATCTGTTTTAAGAAAGATAAGAAAAATAAAACACATTAGAAGAGTTGGTTATCCCATTCTTCTAGCTGACTCCTTAATGATAACTGCATGGTTTAACGTATTAGCCATGGATTAGCCATGGATTGTTATGAAACAGCGTCTCCCCCACATTTCCTTTGGTTCCCACGCCAATGACGGCCAGTGCTGAGTGACAGCATGCTGCACTCCCTGCTCAGGCAGGCCTGGCGGAGTAAGGCGGAAGGTGACACATTTCCCGCCTTCGATAGTATTTCCCCCCCCCTCCTCCCGCTCCTTTTCGTGTGTTACTCCGCCCCCATCCCTGGCGGCTAGCGCGACCCCGCCACAGCGACACGCCCTTCTCTGTGGGTGCGCGAGCGCGCACCGCGGGGCCGCGCCCAGTCACAAGCGCGCGCGCCGAGCTCACCTGACTGACAGGGAGGAGGAGGAGGCTGCGGCCCTGCGAGATGACATAAACCCATACGGCTTTAATGGGAGGAGGAGGCGTGGCAACCCGGAACCGGAAAGGGTGAGGAGGAAGGAAGGAGGGGCCGGAGCACCGAGTAAAGGGTTGCCTGAAGACCGAAACAGGGAGCCGGCACTGGAAGGGGGAGAGTCCAGGCCCTAACACCTCATCAACACACCCGGTAATTAAACTCACCTTCTCTATAGCAACTGCACGTCATATGTACTGTGCTCCAATCACGTGTGTTATATCTGCTCTGTAAATAATCTCTCACTGCGGGGGGGACATCCCTCTATAAAACATAACACTCTCTATATATAACCTATACCTAATACTGCTAATATAACTCTATTACCTGTAATAGACATCCCTCTATAAAACATAACACTCTCTATATATAACCTATACCTAATACTGCTAATATAACTCTATTACCTGTAATAGACATCCCTCTATAAAACATAACACTCTCTATATATAACCTATACCTAATACTGCTAATATAACTCTATTACCTGTAATAGACATCCCTCTATAAAACATAACACTCTCTATATATAACCTATACCTAATACTGCTAATATAACTCTATTACCTGTAATAGACATCCCTCTATAAAACATAACACTCTCTATATATAACCTATACCTAATACTGCTAATATAACTCTATTACCTGTAATAGACATCCCTCTATAAAACATAACACTCTCTATATATAACCTATACCTAATACTGCTAATATAACTCTATTACCTGTAATAGACATCCCTCTATAAAACATAACACTCTCTATATATAACCTATACCTAATACTGCTAATATAACTCTATTACCTGTAATAGACATCCCTCTATAAAACATAACACTCTCTATATATAACCTATACCTAATACTGCTAATATAACTCTATTACCTGTAATAGACATCCCTCTATAAAACATAACACTCTCTATATATAACCTATACCTAATACTGCTAATATAACTCTATTACCTGTAATAGACATCCCTCTATATAACATATAGTTAATATTAATATACTATAACTCTATTACCTGTAATAAACATCCCTCTATATAACATATACCTTACACTGCTAATATAACTGTCTGTAATAAACCTCTCTAATACCTCTTATGACATATATTACTGATATAGCTAAACTCTATCTAATACTATAACTGTATTACCTGTAATAAACACCCCTCTGTATAGCCTATACCTAATACTAATATAATATAACTCTAATACCTGTAATAAACATCTCTATATAACATATACCTAATACTAATATAATATAACTCTAATACCTGTAATCAACTTATCTCTATATAACATATACCTAATACTAATATACTATAACTCTATTACCAGGTAAGACGCTGGGGCTAAAACAAAATTTGTAAAAATTCAATATTTAAAAAAAATTATAATTATATACACACTGCATCCACTACACACACATATATTCTTGAAAACTTAAAAAATTCTGACTGTCATATATATTTTGTGCATTTACCTTAAATAATAAACATGTTCAGTTAACAGTAGATTTGTGTAGAAATACAGAATATCGGTAAGTTATCGGCTATCGGCCTGAAAGTTCACAGATTATCGCTATTGGTATAGACTCTAAAAAAAATCAATATCGGTCGATCCCTACCTATTATTGCAAATGTGGAGTATGTGTTTTATAGCACCCCTACATTGCCTGTAGTAGACAAACTACTGTTACTCCTAGTACAGATTGTCCCTAACCTAAACAACACTATTACCTCTAACCTACATATACACATTTCATATAGAATCACTCTATTACTACTAGTATAACACAACTCAGTTACCCTCAATATACTGTGCCTCTATTATTTATGACATATACCAATTTGCAGGAGCATAGCAAGCTCTACTTGAGATTAATACACCATGCCAATAATTTAAAGTGTTACAATTGATGTATCCCTAATATTATAATATCCATATTACACCTATAATTTAGCAAACACTGTTAAAGATTGTTGGGAAATCTATGTAAAGTAAATAATACATATTGCAAACAAATTGCTGGAAACACTCTAGTTATAATGCCGATAGTAACTTCCTGGTTAATGTTGGGCTAGGATCTTTACAATTGTGTGTTTTTTTGGGGGGGTTTTTTTTTGTCTTTTTTCAGTAGCAGAGAAACTGTTAACATAAATGTAGAACATGTTGTGAAGATCATGCAGGACACAGAGGAAATTATGTAAAAATAGAATTCTTGCACAACATGGAGTAGTCATCATGGGCTGCTGATTGCTCCACATTGTGCCCTTATCCTGTGTCCAATAAGACCCTTTTAGGTATCATATTCTGGGAAAAGTGGATGGCAAAGAGACTCTGTCATCTTGGAAACAGCTTGTAGATTGCTTAGTTTTTAAAACATACAGTCAGATTTGCAGATTAGCCTCATGAAGGGCTTGACAAATGTTTGGAATCTAGGAGCCAGCTAGAAAAGTTAGAAGCCAGAGAAATAAACGCCATAAATGCATTTCTTAAAGGGACACTATAGTCACCAGAACTACTACAGCTTAATCTAGATGTTCTGACGTCTATATCCTGTCCCTGAAAGCTTTTAAATGTAAACACTGACTTTTCAGACAAAAGGCAGTGTTTACATTGCTGCCTGGTGACACCTCAAGCGACAGTCACTCAAATGGCCTCTAGAGGTGCTTCACACTGTGCAGCACTTACGTTAATGTTACTTATACGGATGCATCTCTATGAGAAGTTAAACTGGCGCATTAGAATTTTGCTGTGCATGCACAATAGTCTCCCAATGCTTTCCTAAGGGGAAGCATTGGATTGTCTGAGATCGTCAAGATTGATGATCTCCGCCATGGAAGTGGGTCCAGTCGTGGCGTCACCAGCATGGCGTGGGAAAAAAGGTAGAGTAAAAACATCTTTATCATGTGTTTGGAGGGAACACACACACACACACACTGACGGACAGACAGACACACTCATTCACAAATAATTACTTTTTTTATTTTTTATACCCAGTCTCCTTACCTTTTGGAGAGCTGAGGTGCAGTGGGGCTACTGTCATCTTCCTGCTCTGCAGAGCAGGGAGATTAAAGCTCACTCTCGCCGCCGCACTAAGCCAGCCACCTGATATTACCGGAACATACTTTATTTGCAGAAATGTTAATAGAACCAGACAAATCAGAGCATCTATGGAAGGTTTTTTGTTATATATTTTTTTTTTAATTGAACCTAAATCCGATTAGGATTGCTATTGCAATATTTTAATACTACGGTATTAAATGTACACATTTGTTCCATTACTATAATATATACATACATACATACATGCATGCATTTTTGATGGGCATTCATGCCATATACATGTATAACCTACAATTTATAAAAATCAGCTTTGTATAAGCGATTCAGTTGTTGTTCAATCATTGAAATGATTAGGGTTTATAGCAGTATAATGCAGGAAAGTATCTTTGAATACACATCACTTCAAATGTTTAAGTGAGTAATCTACATCAGCAGAAGGCCTCACTGGGTTCCACTATTATATGATTACATATAGATCTACAGTGGGAGGAGCTCTAGAACCTGATAGTAGAATACAGAAAAAATATCATAATCTCAGACTGATTGGCATTTAAAGGGACACTATAGTCACCTGAACAACTTCAGCTTAAAGGACCACTATAGTGCCAGGAAAACATACTCGTTTTCCTGGCACTATAGTGCCCTGAGGGTGCCCCCACCCTCAGGGTCTCCCTCCCGCCCGGCTCTTGGAGAGGAAAGGGTTAAAACGTACCTTTATTCCAGCGCCTGGCGGAGTGCTCTCCTCTCCTCTCCTCCCTCTCTTCTCTCCTCCCTTTCGGCTGAATGCGCACGCGCGGCAAGAGCTACAATGCTTTCCTATGGACGCTTGCGTGTTCTCACTGTGGTTTTCAGAGTGAGAATCACGCAAGCCCCTCTAGCGGCTGTCAATGAGACAGCCACTAGAGGATTTAGAGGCTGGGTTAACCCTATTATAAACATAGTTTCTCTGAAACTGCTATGTTCATAAAAAAAAGGGTTAATCCTAGCGGGACCTGGCACCCAGACCACTTCATTAAGCTGAAGTGGTCTGGGTGCCTAGAGTGGTCCTTTAATAATCCCTGCAGCCTTTCTCATGTAAACACTGTATTTTACATTGAAAGCTAGGAACACCTCCAGGTGCAGTCACTCAGAGTGTGAGTTGATGGAGGCATAATATGCCTCGATCTGCTGTGCACGAGCATCCTGTGATTCAGTATCTCCTCCCACTGCATGCAGACACTGAACTTTCCTCATAGAGATTCATTGATTCAATTCATCTCTATGAGGAGATGCTGATTGGCCAGGGCTGTGTTTGAATCATGCTGGCTCTGCCCCTGATCTGCCTCCTTGTCAGTCGGGGCCAATCCTATGGGGAAGCACTGTGATTGGATCAGGCCCTCACATGTCAGCAGGCTGCTTGTTTTTCCTGAGTCTAACAGCATGCAGATTAACAGCTTCTGGCTTGAATACAGTAAGTTTTTTACTATATTTATGGAGGCATGAGGGGCCCAGGGGGGCTATATGGTCGTGTTAACACTATAGGGTCAGGAATACATGTAGTTGCACTGGTGACTATAGTGTCCCTTTCAACCTACAGATATTTTCATTGCACACAGTCCCTTTTATATTAATATAGCACTCTTTAAATGCCACAGCCTGTGTGATTTTAGTTGATAATTGGGCATTCTTATAGATACTGAAGACACAACCTCTAATGGCTATTTCCAGCAGGACAGCGTGCCATGTCACAAAGAACATGGACACTCAGGTTGGTTTCATATGCTCCTTCTTGATCTCTCCGCTCTGCCAGTGACCGCCTTCTGTCCGCTGCTCGCACCCTTACTGCAAACCCGTGCTTGCAGGACTTCTCACTGGCGGTTCCTTTCCTTTGGAATGCCCGGTCTACCCCCATCAGACTCTCCCCTGGTCTTCTAGCCATCTGTTCAGAAATGCTTATGGACTCCCAGTGTAACTTCTGTGTCACATTTGTCTCTTGCTCTCCTAAAGAGCCACACTCCAGTTCTGCTACTTTTCCACCTTGTTTGTTTGCTGTCCCCTTTGCTGCCCTTTTGTGTATTTATACCCCACCTCCTCTAGACTAAGCTCATTTGAGCATGGTCCTCATCTACCTATTGTTCCTGTATAATTTTTGTAATTGTCTAGTTTATTGTTAAATCTCCCCCCATTCAGAATATTGTAAAGCGCTGCGGGATAAGTTGGTGCTACCATATATAAATACCATAATAATAATAATAATCATGAACATGTCAATTAGATCCACGAAGGACTCCTGCAGTCATTTGATGTCAGAAGTGACAGAATGGGAGATATGTCTCATGAATGTGTAGTCAACTAGTCTGCAGAAACTGCGTGATGGAGCCAGAATCTCCAAGGAATGTTTCTAAGATCTATTGTTGAATCTATTTCACAAATTAGTTTGTCCTGGGGCAAAGAAGTGTCTATAGAGTATGGGGAAGATGTAACTAATGGAAGGGTCTGACATCACACTGAAGCCTGGCATGTTGTGACTGGCTCTGTGTAGGGTCTCTAATCTCGAGATTGTGGTTACATTATTGTGCTGGAACTGTAATTTGTGGCTGTTGTTCTTTTGTTTGGTTTTGCTTCCAATTCTCTTTTGACTCATGGGCTCATGTGCTGATTCGTGCCCATCGATTTTGGAGGGTATAATGCCTGACCGGACCTTCCACGTTTAGGGGAGGGAGGTGATTTGTCTAGTAGTTAAATAGTTTTATCCCCATGTGAGGGTCCTTCATGATCAGTATTGTTCTGCCTCGTCTAAGCTAGTGAGGGTAGCAGAACAATACGGTTGTAACTGGTTCATTTGTGCTGCTAGGCGCTCTTGCAGCGTTGTTAGTTTAAGTATGGGTCATATTAATTCCTGGGGCTGACCAACTCTGTATGTGGGCTACTCGTTCTTGGCTGTCTCCCTCTGTGATGGTGACTGGTTCCGATTCTGGGAGGAAACCGTCTGCTTTCATGTCTAGTAGCCACTGGACCTTGGTGTTATGTGATGCTTCTTTCTCCTAGAATTGTTCAGTCTCTACTCTGGGTGAGTCTTGGGTGGATATGTTGTTAACCTGCATACATCTTTGAATGGACCTTTTGGTAAACAGAGCATTTATTTTCTTAACCACTGGTTATCTGCGCAAACCGGTTGCCAGTGCTTTCAACCTTTGCTTAGCTGTTGCCAGTGCTCAATATCTGGCTTTGGAATACTTTACATGCTGACAATGGTTACCAAATAGATTTGGTAATTGAAGCTATATGTATCAAGTGGAAGTCTTTCTGATAGCCTGAAGTTGGTGTAGGGATTGCAAATGTAAACTGCGCTATTTCTGAGAAACAGCGCTGTTTTCATTTGCAGCGCTGCAAGGGCAGCATATGTGCTCCTAAATCACTTTATTAAATTGTAGTGACTTTGCTGTTTAGAATGTCCCTTTATGAACACGATAAATTGTAGTTGTAATGGAACTCCTGTACTCAGACTGCTTACGTTTAAGTCAACTTCGTCAGCACTACCAGGGGAGCTGGACTGGTGTCTATGGGGACCTTTTCCACTGGACAAGGCCACAATGGTTATTGATCTTTTCCTCTTCATGCCTACTCTCTTAAACAGCAGCAGTGATGCACACGTCAAGACTTAAAGGGACACTATAAGCACCCAGACCACTTAATCTCATTGGGTACAGTGTCCCTGTCCCCCTTAATTCTGCAATGTTTACTTTGCAGTGTTAAGACTGCCTCTAGTGGCTGGGTACAGTGTCCCTGTCCCCCTTAATTCTGCAATGTTTACTTTGCAGTGTTAAGACTGCCTCTAGTGGCTGTCCACTAGAGAGCCACTAGAGACGCTTCCTGCTGTTTCACGGAGTTTGATTCAGTGTAACAATGCTGGAGGTTCTCAAGCTCTGCATGAGGATGTCCAGTGTCAGAGAACCCCCCCAGAACCACTCTGTCAGGGCTGATAAATGTTTATTAGATCCGTGATCAATCCAGAGATTATATTTCCCCCTTCTGTGTCTTCAGGCAAGGCATCAGGGAATCTGAGCCCCAAAATTCCCTTCCCTAACACAGCATCTATAAACTCAACATATGTCTGTAGGCAGTTTGCCACCTCAGCTAACCATGATGCAAAAAGCATCTGGATCAGAGGTACTCACCCTAAATGACTAACGTTTTACCAGGTTGTGACTATGCTGCAATCTGGACAGGGTTCATGGTCTGTGAGGAGGAAGCTGGCCAGTGGCAAAGTTGATTCCGTCACAATAGTAGATGGACCATAGATTTTTTTTATTTTTTTTAAGTTTTCACATACTTAGTGAAATAAAAAACAATCCTTATGTTTCTAAATCTGTACAGCTTGGCCTGTTCGTGCACGTCATGTACATTCTGTGTTGCATTCCACATGTCTTTTAAAATGTGAATATGCCTGCAGGCACTTTTTTTTTTTTTTTAATTAATTTATTTATTTTTTAAGTACTGACAGCAGGTTGTTTTTCCTGCATCTTGCCTGTATATGTACATTTAATTACCCTACTTTATACGTAAGTAAAAGTAGAGATTAATTTTCTTTTTGTGTAATTGTCAGGTTGGCAGAGCTGAACGAATAATAGAGCTTCATGCTCCACTTCCTTATTCAAGTCTGTCGGGGCTACGCTCTAGGAATGCTCACTCTCTCATTGATCAGTGTGCAAATGTATTACAGGCCTGGATTAACTGTATACCAAGCATAAAATTTGAGGAAAACAGAATAAAGACCAGAAGGGTCAGTAAATAAAGTAAAAAAACTTTAACAATGACGTGGAATTAGTGCATGGCTTGACAAATTTGTTTGGAATCTAGGACCCTGCTGAAAGTCAGACTTTTTTTTTCTCTTCCTTTTTTTTTTTTTTTTTTTAAACGAAGATATATTTTAATTTTCAATGAGAAAAATGCAATTCTTGAATGGACTCTATAGTCACCAGAATCACTACAGCTTAATGTAGTGGTTCTGTTTATAGTCTGTCCCTAAAGAGTTTTCAATGTAAACACTGCCTTTTCACGGTCTGCATGGCTGCGCTGAATGTTCCCCATAGAGATTAATTGATTCAATTCATATCTATAAGGAGATGCTGATTAGCACTTCTTGGTGTTTTGCTGCGCATGTGCAATATTCCCCCAATGTTTTCCTATGGGAAATCATTAGCTTAAAGCACCACTATAGTGCCAGGAAAACATACTCGTTTTCCTGGCACTATAGTGCCCTGAGGGTGCCCCCACCCTCAGGGACCCTCTCTCGCCCGGCTCTGGAAAGGGTAAAGGGGTAAAAACTTACCTTTTTTCCAGCGCTGGGTGGGGAGCTCTCCTCTTCCGATCCTCCTCTGTTACTCCCCGTCGGCTGAATGCGCACGCGCGGCAAGAGCTGCGCGCGCATTCAGCCGGTCACATAGGAAAGCATTCATAATGCTTTCCTATCGACGCTGGCGTGCTCTCACTGTGAAAATCACAGTGAGAAGCACGCAAGTGCCTCTAGCGGCTGTCATTGAGACAGCCGCTAGAGGGAATGGGGGAAGGCTTAACCCATTCACAAACATAGCAGTTTCTCTGAAACTGCTATGTTTATGGAAAAATGGGTTAACCCTAGCTGGACCTGGCACCCAGACCACTTCATTAAGCTGAAGTGGTCTGGGTGCCTAGAGTGGTCCTTTAACTGAGATCATAAATATTGATGATCTCAGCCATGGAGTCAGGACTAGCCATGATAAAATCATCATGGTGTGAGTAAAAACACCTCTCATGCGATCGGAGGGGGGCAGGTACCTAAACTGGCACATACACACTATCTGACTGACGCACAAATGCGCTCTGACAGATCCGCACGCACATTGTGTGAGGTAGCCGTGGTGTTTTGGTGACAAGCTCAGGTGGACGGAATTGGCAAAGATAGTCATTTAGGAAGGTGTTTAAGTGGTAACACCACTGAGATAACTTATTTATTTTGTTATATCTGCTCTAGCAGCAGAGTATTGTGATTCCGTGGTTCTTGTGGTTGACTCAAATCTGAAAAAATATATATATTAATAATGCTAAACTGCATGTGTTAAATTCTCTGCACCTTCTGCATGTGTTGTCAGGCACGTCCGTCAAATTTTAATTAATAAAATCCTATAATTATGTTAAAAGATTACTTAAATATACATGTAGAATTTTAATATATACATATATATGTATTTTAAATTCTACATGTATACTTATGTAATCATTTATGTAATTTTATATATTTATCTATTTATAAATATTTGCAGTTGTTTTTATTTAGATAGATATATATATAGAATGTCATTCTAAGTATATTTTGTTATCTCTCTCTTCAAAATAGTTCAAATGAAATTACATATGTATATATAATTTATTTCCATTTTGTAAATTTTTATTGTAATTATACGTCTATAAAATATATATTTTAATACTAATATATACTTATATTAATATTAAACTATGTATGTTACATATGAGATATATTGTGTGTGTATGTATGTGTGTGTGTGTATATATATATATATATATATATATATATATATATATATATATATACACACACTTTTAAAATTTATTTTACATGTTTAATATATTTTTTTGCACTACCCACCAGCAGGGGGATTGTCTGACAGCCAAGACAGTCTCCCTGCTGGAAGATCCACAGCCAGCTAAAGGGGGACAAGTGATCACTCTTTGAGAGTGATCACATGGCCCCTGGGGGCCTGATTTTGCTGGGGGAGGGCTGTCAGGCAGTCCTCCCGAAGAGGATCGCGGCGGAGGTAAGTACCGCGGAGCTCCTGCAGGCTTAAGCTGTTAAGGTGTTCTATGCCGCTGCAACGGCTTTAAAGCTCATTATAATGGGGACGGCATAGAACTGCGTTAATGGGTTAATCTAGGCCTGAACGAATAAATCTGTCAAGTAAATCCCAGACAGATCGATGTATTCGGACTTAGATTAACAGGAACTTATTTGTCGTAGATGAAAAGTATATGTGCAAGTCTAGACATTATCTTAAACTGACTAGGACAACAGTCCACACTATTTTCTAGTCCACCTTTTTGTTTTGTTTTTTTAAATCCCACTAATGTCCCAGTGCCGAACTTCACAGTTAGTATTTGCACATATTTAACATTCACTTTTCATTGTCCAGCATACAGGCATTATGGGCATGCACCTGCTTGTATAAGAAATGTATACACAATAAAGATTAGGAACAGCGCACACCTAAAACAATACATTTTATATGGCTACTTAAAATCACCGCAAACAAATATGGTGATATCCCTATTTTATTTATTTATTTTATTCGCTAAGATAGGCGATTTTAAGTAGTCTTACAAAATATACAAACGTGTTTTTGATGTGTGCGCTGTTCCTTCATCTGTATTTTGTATAAATTCTGGTCACTATGGCAGCACCAGCAAAATGCATGTTCTGGATGTGCCCCCAATTCCTTTTTGTTTTAGAAATGTAGGCATTCATTTAATAAGCTTTCCAAATGATTTTAATACTGTTAGAAAAGTTTGTGTCATTTATCCACAAAAATTCCCATAAACTTTTAATGACGGCTATAGATAAATCATTTGCAAAAGTTTTTCTAACACTATTGAATTATTTGGAAAACTTATTAGATCGAGTTGTTAAAGGACACTCCAGACCCCGAAAGCACTATAGCTTGCTGAAATACTTATAGGGACAATATAGTCACCAGAACAACTACATCTTATTGCATTTGTTCTTGTGTGTAAAATCATTAACTCTTCAGGCCTTTTGCTGTAAACACGGTCTTTTCATGCATGTGACTTGCACAGCCTTCCTAAATACTTCCTATAAAGAGTCATCGTATGTTTATACTTCCTTTATTGCAAACTCTGTTTAATTTATTATCAACTGCTCTGCTAATAGTTTTAGCACTTCTCAATATTATGAGAAATGGGATTTAACTATAAATAGGGCAATTACAAGACAACTTACATGAATGATAGGTTGAAGAGGACCCTGCTCAAACAAGCTCAAGGAAGATATGTACACAGCTCTTCCCCTCACAGCACTGAATCATCTGAACTTGAAGCCAGCCAGTGTTTTGTCAGATTTCCGTACCCACGTCACGTCCGGTGATGCAGATAAACTGTTGCCTTTGCTGCACATGTGTGCTAGTACTCCTGACCGTTATGGAAATCTGATGAAGGCTGGGAACATGCGCAAGACGACCACATCACTCCTGATGACGAGGCATCAGCTGGAATGGTAACTCCTCTCTAGCAAGGTCCTGAAAGGCAAGCTTGTTTCAGACTTAGGGCATTCACTAAAGCACACACATTGGGACATTTAGGTTAGATTTAGGGGGTAATTTTTTATTTTGTGTTTAGTGATTATCTAGGGTTAATGTTACCTTACTCCCATGGTTAGGATAAGGAGTGGGGGGGGGGGGGTAAATTAGTTCCTAACTCTAATTTTAATCTTTACTTAACCCTAAATGACCCATGTTCTTATGCTTTAGCGAATGCCCTAATTATGTCAGTGTGAAGTTGCTTTACTTACCTTCCAGGACCTTGCTGAAGAGGAGTTGCCATTCCAGCTGATACCATGTCATCAGGAGTGACACAGTGGTCTTGTGCATGGTCCCAGCCTCCATCAGAATTCCGTACCCTACAAGTGAGCTGTAGAAAGCAGCCATATGGGCTTAACATTACACCCTATGGACAGTTGACTGAATTTAAAAGTGGGAGGATATCCTGGTGCTACTAATGTTTGCCCTGCACATAATGGGAGTATCTTTAGCACAGCTAGATCTGGCATTGTCCAGATTACCTTCATATGTGCAGATTGGAAGAAAAGAAAAAAAGGCAGGAGGCTCAGTGAGACGAGCGGCCGGACAGCAGATGGCTCATAGTGAGCGGAGGTGGGCGGCAGGAAAGCAGGATGGCTCATAGTGAGCGGAGGCGGGCGGCAGGATGGCTCATAGTGAGCGGAGGCGGGCGGCAGGGTGGCTCATAGTGAGCGGAGGCGGGCGGCAGGGTGGCTCATAGCGGAGGCGGGCGGCAGGGTGGCTCATAGCGGAGGCGGGCGGCAGGGTGGCTCATAGCGGAGGCGGGCGGCAGGGCGGCTCATAGCGGGCGGCTCATAGCGAGCGGAGGCGGGCGGCAGGACGGGCGGCTCATAGCGAGCGGAGGCGGGCGGCAGGACGGGCAGGATGGCTCATAGCGAGCGGAGGCGGGCGGCAGGACGGGCAGGATGGCTCATAGCGAGCGGAGGCGGGCGGACAGGCAGGCTGCTCACGGTGTAAGATTCAGGCAGGCGGCTGACTGATTATGGAGGCGGCGAGGGAGGTGTGATCTTCCTGCTCCCTCGCGCGCTGTCCAGTAATGCCGGGAACCGGAATAGGATGTCACTCTGGCCCTGGCACACTAAACAGCGCGCGAGGGAGCAGGAAGATGAGCAGCCCCACTGGACCCCAGGGAAAGTTAGGCTGGCTGGGTGGACACATTTAAATATATCTAATAATTTGTGTGTGTCTGTGAGTCTGTTTAGGTGGCCGGCCCCTCCAATCACATGGGAATGGTGCTTTTACTGACCTTTTTTCCAATGTCGTACTGGTCTGATCATCATAATTTGACAATCTCAGCCAATCCAATGCTTTCCTGGTGGAAAGCATATGTGACTATTGCGCATGTACAGGAAAACACGCTTGAATCAATGTGCACACATGGGATAGCCTTAAGCGTTTCCATGCAGATCATGGAGACACGCAGAATGCAGCTCTAGAGACAGTCTGAGTGACTGCCACTAGAAGTGTTACTAGGCTGCAATCTTTACATTGAAAAGCTTGTAGGGATAGGCTATAGACTTCAGAACTACATTAAGCTGTAATCGTTCTGGTGACTATAGTCTCCATTTAAGAAATGTATTTTTGCCGTTGAAAAACCAGGATCCTAATTTTTTTTTAGCTTGCTCCTATATTCCAAGCAAATTTGTCAAGCCCTTTAGACAAACATAATGCTGCTTTAAATGAACACTCCAAGCAACCTGTAGAGCAGGGGTCAGCAACCTGTGGCATGTGTGCCATGCGTGGCCCTCGAGGCTTCCAGAGCCAAATAGGCTCTGGCCTATCAGGAGTTCCAGTGATCCTTTAGATATCTATCTGCTAGTGCAAACCAAGCAGTGATTGCAGATGGTAAGAGTCAATCATCAATATACACCTTGTAGCACTTAGAGAAAGTGATTTGAGATCACTTGTGAATGGTAATTCACACTGCCTGCAGCAGCTATCACCGCCCCCTGCCCTCGACCTGTATTTGGCCAGCCCGGTACATCATGGACGGCAGAGAAGCCTCCCACGCAGATCAATATACATTGAGCTGAAGAAGCCTCCTCCTCATACAAATAATACAAATATCCTACACACGAACACAGAGTCCCCACAAACAAAACGACAATGACACTGATGATCCACATACATGTGCTCAACCCCACAAGCAGTCTCATGCTTGCAAACACCACCAAACACACAATGTGACATATCACAAACACAAACCATTCCACAAGCAGCCCACATTAATTGGTTTCACACACGACCAAAAACTACTCATGAACGTATAAAATATAACAGCCCACATGCACACAAACACAATGCTGCAAAGCATATGCAGTATCCATAAATAACACAAGCAGAACATACGCCAACATACAGACATCAATATAAAAAAAAAAAATAGGACCGGCACGCCAAGGGACTTCAAAATCTTTTGGCAGAGTACTAGTAAAGGATTGCCTACTCCTGCTCTAGAGCCTGCAGAGGGTTTGCTGGGCACCCACACCTCTGCATCTAGAAGCTCTGCCAGGTAATGCTCTCGGCCAATGAGTCTGCAGCTTAGTTCCTTGCTGGAGCTTCAGGCTGCACAATATGTGGCAGTGGACCCTAAGCAAGTTGTCCATCTGTTCTTAAATGGCTGTAACAAAACTGAGGTTATAACAAAAGCTTTGAGAGGGAGCAAGGGCACTCCTGGCACCATAACCACTACAGCAGGCCTTTCTAATCAGGTGTGTGGAAATAATAAGAAAAAAAGTTACTTTTTGTCATGACAATGCTGAAGAAGCAGACAATACATTCCCTGACCCCAATGTAACATCTCCTACCACTTACCCATAATAGGGCTAAGGGCAGTGCCAGGAGCTAACATGTTCCGGGTCCTTAATATTTTAGGTAAATATATTTGCCATGCATAACAGGTTGCCTATTGATCCGTTTCGAGACACAGCCTATGGTTCATGTTGTGTTCTGTATTTTATCATACGTTTCAGCACTTTCTATACAGCTAACTGGCTGTCTGTATCTTCCACAGTTTGTTCTGATATTCCTGCATTTTTATGCATTACAGTAACAGAGCCAGAAACCATCTCCCCACCTCCTCCACACTCACGCACATTTTTATTTTGGCTTCCCCTTTATTGTCGGTGGTGTTTTTTTTTTCTTTTTTCTTGTAATATATCATTATTTATTTATTACACGTGTAGACTTCTTACATTACATACTAGAGCAATTAAATTGTCTTAAGCCAATGGTGTGCAAGGTAACTTCCATTTGTCAGGAAATAGGATACAATGTTGCCTTTGCATAAGAATGTGTATATAAAAGGAAGTTCCTGCCAGGATTTCCTACTGAAGAACGATTTACACTTTGTAAACCCCTTACACGGTTCTAGTTGCATTTAAGTCACTGGTGGTTAATTTTATAGCAATGCAGATATTTGTGGACTGGAAACGGATCTGTCTTATCCCAAACAACTTATGCATAATTTTTATATATATAATGTATATATTCTGTATATACCTTGTGCTTGCAGTTTTTCTAGCAAATGTATAGGTTAGGAGAAAAACCTATTTAAAATTTTTTTTTTCTTCCACCTGTCATTCAAAGCCTCAGACTGACAAGGGAGAGCAGAAAAGACCTCCAACAGGAGGTCCCTCTGCTCTCCACCCATAGCAACCACAGTACATGCGCACTGCATGCATTGCAATGAAAACTCCCTGGCTGGCATTTCTAGAACTGACATGGGAGTATCCAAATGTGAGTGGTGTAACGTCACTGAGGAGATTTTGCTAGGGGAAGTGTCCCAAGCAGGGCAAATCAGAGTCCAGTCCAGGCATCAACGTAGATGCCGCTGGAAGCACCTCAAGTAGCAATCTGAGGAGTGGCCACTAGAGGTGTTCCTAGGCTGTAATGTAAGCACTGCCTTTACGTTGAAAAGACATTGTTTACTGCAAAAGGCCTGAATGGACTGAATATACTCACGAGAAGAACTACATTAAGCTGTAGTTTTTTATGGCTAATATAGTGTCCCTTTTAAAAGAAACCATAGCAATACAGGTTTTACTTAATTTATAGGTGATTTTGGTATTTCATTCACTTATCTAATTTCTAGTTCAATAATGACTCATTATGTTTGGATCTGAAGACAGATTAAAGTCAGCATTTGCTTGACCTGCCTTGTATTTTGTTACAAAACTAGGTAGATATTATGTTAAATAATTTGCACTACAGACTGAAAAGGAGCTTGCCAAATCTTGTGTTCTTATGCCTTGTTACATTGTAAGAATAGGAAGTAGTAATACTGGGGAGGAGTTTAAATCTCATCCACTCTGGGTTACAGTAAATTTGAGACTGAGTAACTTACTTGGATTTTCCAAACCTAGTAAGATGCTGCTTTGCTGGATACCTCACTACTATACAAAGAGTGATATGTCCATGTTTATTGCTCCCTGTCCCACTTGTGAGACAGCACAGCAATAGCCAGATTGAATCCCAACATGTTTGAATGCCCTGGGAATTATTAAAAGTGATAGTATACCTTTAAAGGGACACTCCGGACTCCTAAAATGCTTTGTGTAACGAATGTTTCAATCTACTCTTCAGTACAGTAGTGTCAATATTTAATGCTGGTTAGTATGGTGACCATGTTGCATCATCAAGTACTTTCTCCAGGGAGCAATAAGATGCATGTCAAAACTAAACTAGACTCTAGTCTCTAATTGGACGCTATATGAATACATTTCCCTAAAACCTAGAAAAAGCATACGAGTGTGGTGTTGATCTACTAAAACATAATACTAATCTTAGGATTAGTATTGGCTAGCACAGGTCTTCTAAACAGTGAACAGATATGTTGGCAAGGGCTTTTCCACTAAATGTTCAAATTTAGGGTTAGAAGTTGCATCAAAGATTGATTCTTGTCAGTATGATGACATGGATTGCGTAGTTTCACCAAATAGCATATCTGGAAAGCAACCTAAGAGTCTTGTCAAAATTAGGACATGTCTCTAACTTGACCCTATAAATTCTCCTAAAACCTGGTATAGATGTAAGTTACTGCTGTACCCTGAAAATAAATATTGTCAGTGCTGCAGGTGCCTTGCTCTTTTGAGCAAACACTGCTGAACAATGCTTGTTTTCTCACTGAATTATATCATTAGTCATGTGTACTGCAGATTCCTTGACCTCTTATTAGGAAAAATGTTACATGAATCAATATCGAATTTGTCTGTCTACTTGACTGTGTTGTGGACAATCCTTTCACATGTAGAGGCTTGCATTTGCTGCATTCTAGACGAACAGACACAAATAAAATTTAAGGGACAACTGCCGCCTCAAATATTTAAATCATAAAAAATTGAAAGAAAATCTTTAAGTAAAATAAATAAAGAGGGAGAGAAACTAATCTTCTACCTTTAGTATATGACAGCATTTTTCAGATATACACATGCACCTTTGGTCGGATAGTTCTTGAAAATCAACAATTTCTATGGTACTCCCTACTCAGAAGCCAGGGAATACCATAGACACAGTTGGACTTTATATACTGTCCAACTGTAGGTGTATGGCTGAAGGATCATATTCTATACTAAAGGTAGGAAAGGATTATCTTTATTTTTATTTTGTAACTTATTCTTTTCTTAAAAGTAGTATATCTACTTCCTTTCAATACTTGGTGAAATTATTTTTAAAATATTTTTGAGGTGATATTTTTAAGAATGGCAAATTGATGTAAAATTATACAACAATATTTATTAAGTAATCGGAAAAAATTGAAGAATTCCCAAATTCAGAGTAAAATAGCCTTGCTGTTATTTATGGAAGAGTTGGAATGTGCATCCACATAATTTATTTTTTTTCTTCCTTATTGGTTTTATAATAAAATAATCTAGACTGTAAGCTCGTTTGAACAGGGTCCTCATCTACCTATTGTTCCTGTGTCACTGTGTAATTGTCTCATGTACTGTAAATTTCCACCCCTTTTATAATATTGTAAAGTGCTGTGGAATTAGTTGGCGCTATATAAATACTAGAATACAATAATAATGTAGATAATGTTGAATATCCTCTACATAATTTTCTATAATGGTTTTGCATAGCCGTTCCTTTTATTGGCTAAATGCACACAGATATTTGTTATTGAAATTTATTTCTCCCATTTGTATTTATTTTCACCTAGGTCTGACTCATCATATAGAAAGTATGTCTGATAACGGGGAGCTTGAGGATAAACCACCGGCTCCTCCAGTGCGCATGAGCAGTACAATATTCAGCTCTGGGACGAAAGACCCTTTATCCAGCAATCACAGTTTAAAACCTCTTCCTTTGATTCCAGAAGAGCGAAAACCACGCAACAAAATCATATCCATGTTTTCTGGCACAGAAAAGGGTGAGTTGTCTCATAATGTGGCATTCTATAAAATTCAGGATTAAATTCAGTAGTAAATAAAAGGGTTGTTTTGGTAAAAAAATCTTAGATTTGTCTGCTTAGGCATTGTACTAATCAATATACACAAGACAGGGCATGTTCTCTCTGTGTATGTAATCCAAACACTTGAAGTATCAACACGGGATTGTGTGCAGCATTGACAGCAGGGTTTACCAATTGGTAGGTTATAAACATTCATAATAACCAGGATCTTTGCATAAGTAATATGTGCTTTGGGCTATTTTTTTCGGTGTTTTTTTTCCCCACTCCATCAAAATACACATATGAGTATATTTATTTTAAAACAACTTTTTTTTGATAGTGACAATTCAAGAGTACAAGACAAAATGTCAAAGTACAGCATAGTACAAGATATAAAATGAAGTACAGTTGTCAAGGGATGTAGTGGCAGTTTAGTGCACTAGAGGTGCTTCTGCTGCACTGACCAATTAAAACACTCACGTGATGCAGAAGCCTCTATAGGAAAGCATTGACAGTTTGAATGCGCCACGGCTGCCATTATAGAAATTTAATTTAGAATGGCTAGGAGGCAAGTTCTAAAAGTACTTTAGGACTGCCAATTCGGGAGAAATATGAAATGCAATATGTAAAGTTTGAGGAGCATATGTTTTACGAGCATTCCAAAATTGTTGAATAATTTCACAAGACCAAAAGTAGTGGAACCACTGATGAGGTCAGCAGTTTTAAATGAAACGGTCTGGGGGTAGTGTAGGCATCATGATAGATCTCTTGGTAAGTTGAGGTAGCTAATATTTTAGAAATTCTGGCCTATGTGGACAGTAAGGTGTTTGATATTACATAGTTGCATAGACTATAAAAAAAAAAAAGTCTTTTCTCACATCTGTTTTTGCTGTTAATCCAAAAGAATGCGTAAATACAGAGCACTTTCCAATTTTGCAAGAAACTTGGAAAAAATCTTTCTCGAGCCTAGAATGCCAGTTTGATATCTCATTGAATCAAGAAGCTGTTAACCCACATATTAAATATATCCCTGAATATTATGCTTTTGCAATAATTGACCCAGTCACTGTTAAAAAAAACAAAAAAAACAACAACATTGACTTTTATAAAAGGGAAAAACTATATTTGTATACAGTAACTTTTTTATTTGTCATTTTCCCTAATTCACTAGTATTTTTGGAATTGGTTGTATGTCTATTGTGCACCTCAAATTGCATCATTTTACATTTATCTACATTAAATTTCATCTGCCATTTGAGTGCTCAGTCCTGTGATCTATCTAAAGCTGTCTGCGGTGAAGTAATATCCAGCTCACATTGTATCACCTTACCTAGTTTTGTGTCATCTGCAAACACTGACACATGCTTTCCAATGCCTATATCAAGAAAATGTATAAATAGGTTAAATAGAAGTGTCCCCAGAATGGACCCCTCATTGATACAATTTATCCAGCTTGAAAATGTCACATTAATGCTAACTATTTGTGCTCTATTTTAAGCCAGTGTTCTACCCAAAAACACAAGTTTTTAACTAGACTAATTTATTTTAATTTTAACACTAGCCTATTATTTGGTTGTGATCTACTTGTATTTTGCAAAGGCATTTAATACAGCTCTAATCTGACATGCTGATCTATAAGTCTACTACTTTTCAGAATGCAGTTATGTTATTTTGGCATACTTCATAAAATGCTGATTGATGTTTCCAATGAATTCCTGAATATTATCTCTTGACAACCCTTCAAATACTTTCCAGCCATATCATATGTAAAAATAAATTAAAAAAGAGAGAAAACTAAATCCCTACATATTAGTACATGGCAGGATCTTTCAGACGATAGGCTTAATGGTCTTTCATGCTTCTGTGCAGGTATTGATGCTGGGAAGACCAGAGACGGTTGGGTTTATAGTTAAAGGATTTTATGATATACTAAGGGTATCTTATTTATTATACACAGTATATTAAAAAATTGCTTTGTGGTGCTAATTGTTAACAGATCTATAGTTTCTGACCAGAGATTTTGCTTTTCTTCATTCCACCGGTATGATTAAAAAAAATCCTGAAAGATTTGAGATTGACTTATTTCCACACTTGGCTCCTTAACCCCTTAATGACCAAACTTCTGGAATAAAAGGGAATCATGACATGTCACACGTCATGTGTCCTTAAAGGACCTCTCTAGGCACCCAGACCACTTCAGCTTAATGAAGTGGTCTGGGTGCCAGGTACCTCTAGGATTAACCCTTTTTTTAATAAACATGGCAGTTTCAGAGAAACTGCTATGTTTATACTGAGGGTTAATCCAGCCTCCAGAGCCTCTAGTGGCTGTCTCATTGACAACCGCTAGAGGCGCTTGCGTGCGTCTCACTGTGAAAATCACAGTGAGAGCACGCAAGCGTCCATAGGAAAGCATTGTAAATGCGTTCCTATGCGACCGGCTGAATGCGCGCGCGGCTCCTGCCGCGCATGCGAATTCAGCCGATGACGTCGCGAGCAAGGAGGAGAAGAGGAGTACAGCTCCCCGCCCGGCGCTGGAGAAAGGTAAGTGTTTAACCCCTTCCTCTCTCCAGAGCCCGGCACTATAGTGCCAGGAAAAGGAGTATGTTTGTTTTCCTGGCACTATAGTGGTCCTTTAAACTTTAGTGCCCTGAGGGTGCCCCCACCCTCAGGGTCCCCCTCCCGCCGGGCTGGATGGCGAGGAAAGGGGTTAAACTTACCTTTATTCCAGCGCCGGGCAGGGAGCTCTCCGCCTCCGATCCTCCTCCTGGGCTGAATGCGCAGTTCAATAAAGTGATCTGGGTGCACTGTCCAAAGTCCCATAACCCTGCAAAGGTAATTATTGCAGTTTTCTCTGAAACTGCTATGCTTATAAAAAAAGGGGTTAACCCTAGCTGGACCTGGCACCCAGACCACTTCATTAAGCTGAAGTGGTCTGGGTGCCTAGAGTGGTCCTTTAAGGGGTTAAAGGAATGCTATATGCACCCAGACCAGTTCAGTAAAGTGATCTGGGTGCACTGTCCAAAGTCCCATAACCCTGCAAAGGTAATTATTGCAGTTTTTCTGAAACTGAAGTAATTACCTTTCAGCGTTAACTCCAGCTCTAGTGGCTGTCTACCAGACATCCAGCGTCACCCAAAATCCCATAGGAGAGCTTTGTATAATGCTTTCCTATGGGTAAATCCTAATACGAGGGACATCAGCGCTAAACCCAGGTAAGTGACAGGTTTTTGGTTTTTTTCGTTTGTTTTTTTGTTTTTTTTAACAGGAGAGGGGAAGCTACTTTGCTAGAAAAACAAGTTTTTTCCTGGCACTATAGTTTCCCTTTAAAGAGATCCTATAGGGCCAGGAAAAGAAACCCTTTTCCCTGGCACTAGAGGTTCTTGGAGAGCCCCTCCCCTCTTGGCGCTCAAGAGGTTAAAACCCCTTCAGCCACTTAACTTAGTCCAGCACCTAGGCTCCCTTAGTGCTGGTGACCTCTCCTCCCCCACCAATGTCAGCTCCCAAGTGGAGCCGCATGCGCGGCCAGAGGCGCGTGCATTATGCTTTCCTATGGGGATCTTATTTGACGCTGGACTTGGTGAGGATGTCCTGCGTCCCATAAGTGCGATTTACTCAGTGTAAATCACGGAAGCGGCATCTAATGGCTGTCCTGGAGACAGCCACAAGAGGCTGGATTAACCCTGCAATGTAAACATAGCAGTTTCTCGGCCGATATTCATTATTTTCGTCAATATCGGCATCAGCCAATAAAGATACCGATATTGCAGATAATACATACCAGGACCGCTGGGCCCATGACAAGCCTGGCGGTCCTAGTGGGGGCACACAGCAAGCGGTTACTTACCTTCCCAGCAGCTCCCTGTGTAAATCTTGCGAGTCCCGCGGCAGTCAGAGCGTAGCCACGGGTTACCATGGCAATGGTGGATGCGAGATTTACACAGGGAGCTGCTGGTAAGGGAAGTAAGCGCTTGCTGCCGCCCCCCTCTGTACTTTCCATGCCACTGGCCCACCAGGGAATGTTATATGTGTGTTTGTGTGTGTGTGTGTGTGTGTGTGTGTGTGTGTGTGTGTGTGTGTGTGTGTGTGCGTGTGTGTGTGTGTGTGTGTGTGTGTGTGTGTGTGTGTGTGTGTGTGTGTGTGTGTGTGTGTGTGTGTGTGTGTGTGTGTGTGTGTGTGTGTGTGTGTGTGTGTGTGTGTGTGTAGTAGCTAGGTTGCAATTTGGGAGGACTTTTTTTTTTTATATTTAATTATTATTATTATTTTTTTTTTTTTAGTTCCCCACCCTCCCTGCTTCTTACTTGGCCAGGGATGGGGGGGAAACTAAAAAAATAAATAATAATTAATTTTTTTTTTTTAAATTAGATAAATGCCGCCTCCCCCCAAATTGCATACCTACAGAAACACACGCACACTACACAAACACGCTGTGTATATAATGCATACACACACTGCATTATATAAATACTGCATTCATTATATACACACTACACACACACACTGCATTATATACACATACTGCACAAACACACACTTTGCATTTAGTATATACACATACTACACCCACTGCATTCACTTTACACACACACATACTCTGCATTCATTATATACACTACACAAATACATACTGCATCCACTACACACACTACACAAACACACAGAGCTCCCCTGTCTAAACACACTGCATCCACTACATGTGGCATGTATATTTTGTGCATTTACCTTTAGAAATTATTTTTTTTTTCAAAATAGTAAATGTACAGAATATCGGTATGTTATCGGCTTGAAAGTTCAGAGTATCGGTATCAGCTCTAAAAAAAAAAAAAAATCATCGGTCGATCCCAAGTTAAAACTATGGTGACCTGGCACCCAGACCACTTCATTGTGCTGAAGTGGTCTGGATGCCTATAGTTGTCCTTTAAGTACTTGAGGGTGGATTACCATCTGGCCCTGGAGATGTGTTTACATTAACTTTAATTGCTGCAACACCTTGTCTTAAAGGACCACTCTAGGCACCCAGACCACTTCAGCTTAATGAAGTGGTCTGGGTGCCAGGTCCAGCTAGGGTTAACCTTTTTTTTTTTTTTTTTAATAAACATAGTTATATGCTGTTTATAAATGGGTTAATCCAGCCTCCAAATCCTCTAGTGGCTGTCTCATTGACAGCCGCTAGAGGCGCTTGTGTGACTCTCACTGTGAAAATCACAGTGAGAATACGCCAGCGTCCGTAGGAAAGCATTGTAAATGCTTTCCTATGAGACAGACTGCGCGTGCAGCTCTTACCACGCGTGCGCATTCAGCCGAAGGGGAGGAGAAGAGGAGGAGAGCTCCCTGCCCGGCGCTGGAAGAAAGGTAAGTTTAACCCCTTTCCTCTCCCCAGAGCCGGGCGGGAGGGGACCCTGAGGGTGGGGGCACCCTCAGGGCACTATAGTGGTCCTTTAAGTCATCCAATCACAGTATTTGTGCAAGTGTGCTTCAGTTTTTCTTTTGCGTTATGCAATGATAATATTGGTTTGCAGATATTCCATTTATTGTGTTTTGTATTTTGTATTTTTCTTTTTTCTTCAGAAAAGCATGTATGCCAGTCAAGGAATTGTAAAGCTTCCGTTATTTTATTGAAACTGACATTTTAAAAATTATATGAACCAAGCAATTAAAGGAAATGTGTTAAATATACGCCATGAAATCAGTTTAAAGGATAACTATAGTGTCAGGAAAACAAACTTGTTTTCCTGACACTTTATAACCCTTTGGACCCCCTCCCTTGGCGCTGAAGGGGTTAAAACCCCTTCAGCTACTTAGCTTTATCCGGCGCTGGTGACCTCTCCTCCCCCGCCAACTTGGGCTCCCGAGTTGAGCGGCAAGTGCCGCGCGCGCATTCAAACTGTCCATAGGAAAGCATTTATCAATGCCTTCCTAGGGACGCTCTGCACGCTGGATGCGAAAATCGCATCTAGTTTTGCAGAGGCGCCTCTAGCTGCTGTCAGGAAGACAGCCACTAGAGGTTGGATTAACCCTGCTATGAAAACATAGCAGTTTCTCTGAAACTGCTATGTTTACGTCTGAAGGGTTAAAACCTGGGGGACCTGGCACCCAGACCACTTCGTTGACCTGAAGTGGTCTGGGTGACTATAGTGTCCCTTTTAGCATAAGCCAAGGAGCACACACGCATGTACTTTTGTGCTGTACCCCTTTATTAAAAACCAATAAACAGTTATATACATAAATTCACAGAACCTGTGAAAGTAATCACAACTAAAGGGGAAGTTATGGGGAAAGGAGCTTATGCTGTTGTTAAGCAAGTAGGAAGTTGATCAATAGGTGCTTTTAACATTGGCAAACAATGCTGATTTCTGGTGAACAACTTCTGAGAAATCTAGAAGGTATGTTAACTACACTATTTATTTATTGATCTCCAATAAATTCTACTGGTATGTGGAAAGGGGGATACACTCTGGTAACTGCATGACACTCCATAATTAAAATATGAAGAATTGATTAGTTCCATTTCAAATGGATCATGAGAACAAAACAATATTTTTGTGATTTCTTTTTTTTTTTTTTTTTTTATAAACATTTTGCCCTTCTATAATTTGGACATTCTCATGATGCCTAGCTAACCCTTCAAAAACAATCTACAGCAGCTGCTGTGCCAAAGGTTCACTGGCTAAAAGGGTTCTCTGTAAATTTTTCATAATGCAAAATCCTATGGTTTCATTGTTTGTCATATATAATTATATATTTATTGTGTGTGTGTGTGTGTGTGTGTGTGTGTGTGTGTGTGTGTGTATATATATATATGTATGTATATATTTTTTTTAATTTTTTTTTTTTTAATATAATGTTAAACTAAAATCTGCACACCAGTCAAGCCATAAGACTTGCTTTTCCCACAGAAAGCACAAATTTGCAGTGATGTTACTACCGCAAAGGATTCTGGATGGGCATATGCAAATTAGTTTAACAAAGAATCACATTTTCTTCAGGTGGAAGGGGGTTTTCAATCACTGTTTTTTCCCTACCGTAACTTTTTTGTTTTTTGATATTGAAAAACAAAAAAGTTACGGTAGGGAAAAAACAGTGATTGAAAACCCCCTTCCACCTGAAGAAAATGTGATTCTTTGTTAAACTAATTTGCATATGCCCACCCAGAGAGAGAGAGATATATTTATGTATTTATGTTCGGTGCTATTCTTGTAACGTATATATCGTATGGTGTAACCATAGGTATGAACAAGTCAGTTGAAGTGTGCTGAAACCGACGTATGCGGTAGGCCTGTAATAAAGAGGGCCCACCCTGGATATAAAATAATAAATTAATTGAGTTGAGGGAGTGGTGGGTGGGGCCTGCCGAAGTCAAAACTACACGGTGATGCAGAGAAAGGGGGGTGAGTTTAAATAGGATCACCACGCCCCTCCCACAACTCCAGGCAAGCCTTTACATATATTATAATTTTTAACCTTACCAGGCTTGAAGAGGAAATAATCAACAATTTGTTTTTCCACAGCAAGCAAGAAGAAAGACAAGGAGCGTCCTGAAATTTCACCGCCATCTGACTTTGAACATACTATACATGTGGGCTTCGATTCAGTTACTGGAGAATTTACAGTGAGTAACTCGTGGCTGCTAATAAGTAGGCATTATGACATTCAGGACCTCAGCCGATTGCACTGTGGTACAACAAAATAACTGCACTAGGCATTAATATGGAAGCTACTCTTTTGCAGAATTTGTGCTGGTGACATACTATGCATTGCCACTTGGGGCACCTCCTATTTTCTGTACTACTTTTAGCAGCTATTACGGGATGGACAACATATCCCATAATGCTCTTACAACTTTAAAGGATTACTATAGTGTCAGGAACAAACATGTATTCCTGACACTATAGTGGTAAAATAACAATTTAAGTCCCCTCTTCACTTTGGGGGATAAAAAGGTGATTTTAGTCACCTTTTTTTCCAGCATGCGGCATAGTAAAGCATTGGGAGGCTATTGCATATGCCTGGCAAAACATACAGCCGCTACCCTGCCATCCTGCCCGACTATATCAAGCTGAACTCCCACAGCAGTATGCACCTAGGCCTGCCTATCCGATCCCAGCATATGCCAGACAAGTCTCCCAAGTGGCGATGAAGGCGGAGGTACTGTGGGACCGCGAATGCGGCACAGAATCCGCCTACATACATCAGCCCTAGAGGACTTCCCCTCGTGCCTGCCCGAGCAGCTGGCTCACAGCGCAAGATGTTCCGGTCATAACCTTCTGAACCTTCCTGATGGGGCCGCAACGCTTGAAGACAGCCAGATTACAGCAGGACTATATGAGACCCATAGAGGGTTTTGGCTGAATTGAGCTCCCCCTTCAGCCTTCATATTGCAAACCTTGGTTAGAAATTTTTCAAATTTATGTTCTGAGCCTAATCTTATGTTTATATCCTGACTTTTTTTTTTTTTATGGGGGCCTTACTATCAAACTACCCAAGGTGGGGGTCTATGGGGTGTTCACACACTATGTTGATGTAGCAATACCAAGCTCAACACAATTCTTGCGCACTAACCTTATCTAACCCTGAACTGGCAAGCTTAACTTGTTCTGACGCTTAATATTTACTGTCAGTGTCACAATTGCCAGCACTCATCAATCTTGGTCACAGAGGGTTCCTTTCTTATGGCTGTCACATGACATAACTAACCCTCACTGATCCCTGTGACTTTGCCTTCACTACCATACTATTATCAAAGGTGCAGATTACCCGTTATGCCACACAAATCTTTTACTATGTTTCATAATATTTGCATTAACTGCTGTGGCTCTGCAAGTCTGCTTGTATGCCTATGCACAACATAAAATAAATAATTTTTTTTTTTTTTTTTTAAAGTGTTCGCTTGTTGCATATCATGATATACCTTTACCAACTTTAGTTTTTTTTTTTTTGTTTGTTTTAGGGAATGCCAGAGCAGTGGGCACGTCTGCTACAAACCTCAAACATAACTAAGCTTGAACAGAAGAAAAACCCACAGGCTGTGCTGGACGTACTAAAATTCTATGATTCGAAGGATACTGCTAAGCAGAAATATCTGAGTTTCTCTGCCCCAGGTAAAATTATGCACAAATGGCAACTTTGCATGTAACCATTGAAGGAGTGTATAGTTTGTGTAAACTCCCTGAAAACTTTTTCATTTTTCTAAAATAGTCTTTGTTGTAAGTACACTGTCCTACAAATGTTGTGTATATTTTTAAGCCCATATTCCTATAGGTGGTCCTTCGTCATTTTGATTAAATATTTGTAATTTTTAACTCTGTCTATGAGTCTTAAGTTATTTAAAGCTACTCATACAGAGATTAACCACTTTGTTGCTGGCAGAGTCATTAGCCAGTCCAGAGCATAGTTCTGGGCTGGCTATTGTCAATCTGTTGCAAAAATGCAAACTGATGCCAGCACACTCAGCATGTTCGTGACTAAGCCCCTCACTCCACTGAGCGTGTGACATCGGCCATAGAAGATCTGGCTGAGATAATTTTACATTTTTTTTTTTTTTTTTTTAAGCCTTTTTAATTTTGTCATGGTGGGACAGTTTAGCACGGAAGAGGTTACTGCAAGCAAAACCAGTGTTTTTATAAAAACCTGGTTTTTGTTTAAAAAAATAAAATATACAATTGAGTTGATGAAATTGTTTACAATTTAATGCTAGCCTTTTCTCTTTCTAGATAAAGATGGGATCCCTTCTGGTGTATCACCTGCTGTGAGTATTTTATTTTTAGTAATTGAACCTTTGTACGTTTTGTTTAAATATTTGGGTGGTTTATTATTTGTATATAGATAACATTCAGAAAAGTAGACTCTTTAGTTTATTACTTTATGGTTATTCTACTCATGTTTTTAATTCTTTGTCATAATCTTGCATCTATAAATTAAACAGATTGGAAATATATATTTATGAGATGAACTGTTATGAAGTGTGCTGCCTTGTATTATTTTTGCATTATTGTACATCCTTTTCAGCCTCATGCAAAGGGTTCGGAGCCTACAAGAGTGGCAACAGGTGATGATGATGATGATGAAGAGGCTCCTCCTCCTATTATTGCTCCACGACCAGAGCACACAAAATCGGTGAGTTGCTTAAGTAGAGCAAATTTCTAATGTTTTTGAAAAGCTTGACTTGAATTACTACTACCACCAACATTAAAGGGTCACATAAAAATTACTTATTTTAAAAATGGCAGTGTTTTCTGTATATTTTAATTGCAAATGCAGAAAGGGTGAATGACAAAGATGTGAAAACAAATATCTGGTAATGTCGATGGAAGCAAAGCTACTCTACATGTTAAATTGAGTGAAACATCACATAAAGCTCCACTAAGCGTTTGTGAAGTGGACAGGCCTTTCCCTAACTATTACTGAAATAGAAACAAGCTTCCAGTAACTTTATTAGATTGTTGGAGGTGAGCTTAGCAGTTCATAATGATTGCGGATTAATTTACCCTTTCCTGACCTCGGATGTACCTGGTACGTCCACGGCAAATAGGCGCCATTTACTTACCTGGAAGGGAGGGACTGCCAGATAGCAGCTCTGGCACTCCAGGGCCATATGATCACATGGCCGCAATAGTAGTCTATGCCGTCCGCAAGGCAACTAAAATGTGTGTAAAAATTAATAAATAATAAATATATTGTGTTTGTGTATATGTATGTATGTATATACACCCAGTCTCCACTCATTCAAAAAATCATTGAAAACGCACTTCTCCCAGAAAGCATATCAATTAAACTGTTAGCAGGTTTTTATCCCCCACTACCCATGACTTCTCTCCTGCAACTGTCAAAATTACCTACTAAGCCCGCAGTGAATGCTTTTCTAACAACCTACTTCGTACCCCTACTTTTACCCATTGTGTCACTACACCCCACTCCCTCTAGAATGTAAGCTCATTGAGCAGGGCTCTCCACCTCTCTGTTCATGGATGTCCAGTTGTTTGATTACAATTACATGTCTGTTAGTCCACCCATTGTACAGCGCTACGGAATCTGATGGCGCTATATAAATAATATAATTATATATATGTTTATATTTATTTAAATTTTATTTATATATATTTTATTTATGTATATCTATCTGTATCTCAAAAAGAACCACACAGGATCATTATAGTCTCAGGAAAACAAACTTGTTTTCCTGACACTATGTAACACTTAGGTCCCCCCCACCCTCAGGGTTCCCCTCCCGCTGGGTTTAAGGGGTTACAACCCCTTCAGCCACTTACCTTTTATCCAGCACCGGGCTCCATCGGCGCTGGTGACCTCTCCTCCCCCACTGACGTCAGCTCCCGAGAGGAGCGGAATGCGCATGCACGGCAAGAGCCGCGAGCGCATTCAAACAGTCCATGGACATTCTGCACGCTGAATGCTATTTTCGTATCCAGCGTTGCAGAAGCGCCTCTAGTGACTGTCCAGAAGACCGCTACTAGAGGCTGGATTAACCCTGCTATGTAAACATAGCAGTTTCTCTGAAACTGCTATGTTTACATCTGAAGGGTTAAAACCTGGGGGACCTGGCACCCAGACCACTTCATTGAGCTGAAGTGGTGTGGGTGACTATAGTGTCCCTTTAAAGTAAAATTTAACTATTTAATCCATTAAAAGATGACGTTTCAGCTTCCACATGGTAGCCCAGGAATGAGAATTACCCCCATGATGGCATACCCTTTGCAAAAGAAGACAACCCAAGGTATTGCAAATGGGGTATGCTCAGTCTTTTTTAGTAGCCACTTGGTCATAAACTGTGGCCAAAGTTAGCGTTCATAATGGTTTTTTGCATTTTTAACATGCAAACAAATATAAATGCTAACTTTGGCCAGTTTGTGACTAAGTGGCTACTAAAAAAGACAACATCATAACCCATATTGAATACTCTGGGTTGGCTACTTTAAAAAAAAAAAAAAAGAAAAAAAAGTTGTGAATCAGAGATTTATGACAGATAACAGTGTTACAATGTTACTTTGATACATTTTAAAAATAAATATTTTGAAACCGCAATGTCCTACTTTTATTTATAGCCCTATAACTTTTCAAAAAAAAGCTAAGAACATGTTAACATTGGTTATTTCTAAACTCAGGACAAAATTTAGAAACTATTTAGCACAGGTGTTTTCTGGTGGTTGTAGATGCGTAACAGATTTTGGGGGTCAAAGTTAGAAAAGGTGTGTTTTTACATTTTTTTTCATCATATTTTATAATTTTCTTTACAGTAAATGATATGATGAAAATTATGGTATCTTTAGAAAGACCATTTAATGGCAAGAAAAACTGTATATAATGTGTGGGTATAGTAAAGAGGAAAATTACAGCTAAACACAAACACCGCAGAAATGTAAAAACAGCCCTGGTCCTTAAAGGACCACTATAGTGCCAGGAAAACATACTCGTTTTCCTGGCACTATAGTGCCCTGAGGGTGCCCCCAACCTCAGGGACCCCCTCCCGCCCGTCTCTGGAAAGGGGTTAAAACTTACCTTTTTCCAGCGCTGGGCGAAGAGCTCTCTGCCTCCTCTCCTCCTCCGTTACGCCCCGCCGGCTGAATGCGCACGCGCGGCAAGAGCTGCGCGCGCATTCAGCCGGTCTCATAGGAAAGCATTTATAATGCTTTCCTATGGACGCTGGTGTGCTCTCACTGTGAAAATCACAGTGAGAAGCACGCAAGCGCCTCTAGTGGCTGTCAATGAGACAGCCACTAGAGGGAATAGGGGAAGGCTTAACCCATTAATAAACATAGCAGTTTCTCTGAAACTGCTATGTTTATTAAAAAATGGGTTAACCCTAGCTGGACCAGGCACCCAGACCACTTCATTAAGCTGAAGTGGTCTGGGTGCCTAGAGTGGTCCTTTAACTGTAAGAATACTGAAAAACATGTTTGTGTTCCTGACCCTGTTGTGATCCTTTAATCTTTCCTGCAGGCTCTATGCCATGGAAAGATGCAACAAAATTATATTGTTACACAATTAAGAAACAAAATGTATCAAAAAGTCACTCATGAAGTAGAGAGCTGTAAAATATGCTGCAGGTTCTTAGTCACTGCTTCAGATTTTTATATGGATCAAAATTTTAAAATACATTGTTTTTTTCATCAATTATTTAGCCTGCTCATCCTAATAGTCAGATTTCTGCAGTTTCTCCTTGTCCTAATTGGCTTTTGGGAACAATATTGAGCCAAGGTTGATAATGGCAACTTTATTTATCAATAAATCCGTTCACCTAGGTCAGGCATAGGCAACCTTCGGCACTCCAGATGTTGTGGGCTACAACTCGCATGATGCTTTACCAGCATTATGGGTGTAAGCATTATTGGGGATGTAGTCTACAACATCTGGAGTGCCAAAGGTTGCCTATCCCTGACCTAGGTCATAGATAAACTTAGAAAACATAGAATGTGACGGCAGATAAGAACCATTTGGCCCATCTAGTCTACCCAATTTTCTAAATACTTTAATTAGTCCCTGGCCTTATCTTATAGCTAGGATAGCCTTATGCCTATCCCATGCATGCTTAAACTCCCTCACTGTGTTAACCTCTACCACTTCAGCTGGAAGGCTATTCCATGCATCCACTAGTAATACTTCCTGATGTTCTTTTTAAACCTTTTCTCCTCTAATTTAAGACTGTCCTCTTGTTGTGGTAGTTTTTCTTCTGTGGTAGTTTTGTCTCCTCTTTTACCGTGTTGACTCCCTTTATGTATATAAATGTTTCTATCATATCCCCCCGTCTCATCTTTCCTCCAAGCTATACATGTTAAGATCCTTTAACCTTTCCTTGAAAGTTTTATTCTACAATCCATGAACCAGTTTAGTAGCCCTTCTCTGAATTCTCTCTAAAGTATCAATATACTTCTGGAGATACGGTCTCCAGTACTGCGTACAATACTCCAAGTGAGGTCTCACCAGGGTTCTGTTCAATGGCAGGAGCACTTCCCTCTTTCTACTGCTAATACCTCTCGCTATACAACCAAGCATTCTGCTAGCATTTCCTGCTGCTCTATTGCATTGTCTTCCAACCTTTCAGTCATGTGAAATAATTACCCCTAAATCCCATTTCTCAGATGTTGAGGTTAGGACTCTATCAAATATTCTGTACTCTGCCCTTGGGTTTTTACGTCCAAGGTGCATTATCTTGCACTTATCCACATTAAATGTCAGCTGCCACAACTCTGACCATTTTTATAGTCTACCTTAATCATTTGCAATTTGGCTTATCCCTCCTGGAACATCAACCCTGTTACATATCTTAGTATCATCAGCAAAAAGACATGCCTTACCATCAAGACCTTCTGCAATATCACGAATAAAAATATTAAGAGAATGGGTCAAAGTACAGATCCCTGAGGTACTCCTCTGGTGACAAGATCATGCTTCAAATATGCTCCATTGACTACAACCCTCTGTTGCCGGTCACTCAGCCACTGCCTTACCCATTCAACATTATTGAAATCTGAAATCCATGTGATTTTAGATGTTCAACAATCTTATCCTTTAACATAATTTCCATCACTTTCCCCATTAATGAAGTAAGGCTTACTGGCCTTTAGTTACCCGACTCCTCCCAACTTTCTTGTTAGTGGGCACAACATTCGCTATCTTCCAATAGTAATGTTTTAATTTTTCAATTTGAAAGCGGTTTTCCTTATTTTCCTTACAGATGTATACCCGTTCTGTCATTGACCCAATACCACCTCCGGCTGGTGATGCAGACAGTGCAGCAAAGAGTGCAGACAGGCAGAAAAAGAAAACGAAGATGAGTGATGAAGAAATTATGGAGAAACTCAGTAAGTTCATATTCTATTCAGAATTCCGATTTTTGAATTTTTTTTTTTTACTTTTTTCCGTCTCCTGTTTATTGTTCCAATTAGACAGTATCGGCCTTCATTGTAAAATCAACATTTGCTAAATTATTTAAATAACCACTCAAGCAATATAACCACTACAAATTTCTGATGCCATCCAACCTTAAGTTGTCAAGCCATTTTAGCACAATTTAACAACTTACCCGGATCCCCCCCCTAGCACGTTTCTTTTTTGTTTTTCTTTCTTCTCCAGCAGAAGTTGCAGGGATAGAGAACCTTTAGCACATTGAGATGTGCACTACATCTTTCCAGATGCTTTTCCAGCATTATGGCTGTAAGCCTTATGGGAGATTTAGTCACGTCATCTGGAGTGCAGAAAGTGGTCTATCCTTGCTCTAAAGCAAAGCTGGCTGATGCAGGAATGCACTCAGCTGTTTCTTTCAGCCAGTAATTGCATTCCTGCTTTGCTCTAAGCAGTGACAGCCAGCCTAAGCAGCGAGGGTGATCTACAGGTAAGTTTTCAAATTGCTATGGTGCCCCTGGCACCATAACCACTATAGTGAGTTGTAGTGCTGACGGTGCTTGGAATGTTCCTTTAAATACAATAGTTTAACTGGCTTCTGCTGTTTTTAGGAACAATTGTAAGCATTGGGGATCCCAAGAAGAAATACACCCGATATGAAAAAATTGGTCAAGGGTGAGTAATCTCAAATCTTAAACTATGATAATTTAAAATAACTACTAATAATAGAGTAACAATGTGGGGTTTTGCTCTCCTTGTTTGTTTATTGTGCTTCTAAATAATGCCCTTTTAAATATTGCTTTGACAATCCAGGTACCATAACCACAAAGTAGCACATGTAGTGGTTATGGTGTTTGAATTATTTGTTTAATATATTGCTGTGCAGCTGGGATTCCTTCTAGAGTCAATCTCCTAGAAAAAAACTAAGTTTGGGGATTGGGATATTGCCAAGTCTGATGTGGGTTGTACTTTATAAAAATTTTCAATTTTTTTTGGTATTTTTTTATTTTTATTTTGTGATATTCTTCAGTTTGTCTCTATTGAGAAATTTCGTTAATAATTCAAAGATAGTGATACAGTAAACATTTTCATATTGTACATTAGATATTTACTCTGTGAGCTTTATATTTCAGAAGGTTTTAAAACGTTTAACATTTTGTTTCTTCTAGTGCTTCTGGAACAGTCTTCACGGCAATAGATGTTGCAACTGGTCAAGAGGTAATGCAGTAGGAATGCTTTTGTCCTCTCTCTATTGGACTAGCATCTTCCCCAAGTTCTAGAATTTTTAATAAACATGTAACCAATGCAATTTTAGCACAGTGTATCCCTGAATGTTACTCTGAAAATTTGGTGGCACACACGCCCCTGTCTTTTCCATCAAGTTAGATTTTTTTTTTTTTTAAAACACACATTGACTGCATTTTAAAGATTTGAAATTCCTTGATAGTCAGACGTTACACATGAGAAAGGAGCTATTTCTTTGTATTCAGACTTATGTTCCAAACATCCAAGCAGCAGTCTTAACAAGTGGAATGTAGATGCCCATTTCTCACAGGACAGAGGTAGCATTGAAAAGGTTAAAAAACAAAATGCAGTACCCAACCCCTGTCTCCTTCCCTCCTAGCCTTATAAAGGGCAACTCGACCCTGAGCTCCCCAGTATTTGCCTGTCCTCAAGAGAGACCTGTCTGGTAGCAGAGCTATCCCTACCCTTTGCATAATTGGTGCTTTTGGTGTTTTGGATAGCCGTGTCAGGGGGCTGCTGCTCTTGGAGGGCTCTGTTTTTTTTTTTGTTTTTTTTTGACGGATTGCTTGGCATGTGCGCTTGTCCTTCAGTTATTATAGGATATGAACACACGACAGGCTCCTGTGTTTCACTCATTTATTATTCTGCCCAATCCGTGCCAGGTGACGGTAGAGGTGAAGATGCATCTGTAAGCACAGCTGGGAGGCTCCAAAGAGCCTGTTATAGAGGTTGCATTTTCAGAAAATTCACTCATGTACACATAGCTTAATCACTTCTGGAAATCAGCAGGAGTTTGATTTCTTTTTTTTTTTTTTTTATTCTTTATTTTTGTCATGCATGTATCAACAACAAATACACAGAGCCACATCAGCGTCTGTGTGCAGCTTACAGCAGTTAACATTGTCACAGGTTAATACAGCACATTTTTTAAAGTTAAAAAGTAATAAGACATAAAAAAATAAAGACAAGAAAAAAAAAAAAACCAGACAATTCTATTAGCAGACAGTGAGGTGGATAACACGCAGGACTCTATACTCATTCGAATTCAAATTCCGTTCTAATGAGCAATGGCATTCTTGCTACTTTTATTGCTTATTGATCTAAGAAGGGACCCAGTAACTGTGTGAGATGCCCAAAAAATATCAGGGGATTGATGAATATAACGAGTTAGTACAAGGAGTTTGATTTCTGATTATGAAAAGTAAGCTGTTTATCTACCTTTTTTTAATTTTTTTTTTTTTTTAAATCTTCTTTACCTTCTGACTAGGTTGCTATTAAACAAATAAATCTTCAGAAGCAGCCCAAGAAAGAACTGATCATCAATGAAATTCTGGTGATGAAAGAACTGAAGAACCCAAACATTGTAAACTTTTTGGACAGGTACCATAAGATGCACCTTTGTATTTGTAATGCTTATTCACATGTCAAGCTAATCCATGTTGTCACTGAACCTGTGAGGCATATGTGCTTCCTTTTTAGATGTGATAAACCGTTTTTCTTAAAGGACAACGGCTATTACACTTTTACATCTCGTTTATTACATTTAATGAAAATCAATATTTTTTAAATTATGGTTTTGTAATAGAAAATTTTACTTTTCCTGACACATGGTGGCAGTACAGTAGGGATGTATTCTTCCCTCGGGACAAGCATCTGAAATAAAAAATAAAAAAAGTTCCTCCCCTTACCAGGTATAAGAGGCCAAACCAGCCCTGGGACCTCAGTTCTCTTTCTTGTTCCATCAGGAACGGACTGCATCTGGAATGAGATGGTGAGGCACATGGGTTGCTGCCAGGGGGATGCGGTGTGATAGCCCCCGGGTGGAGACCTGAATGGCCAGCAAGCATCCTGCAGGATTACGGAGCAGGTATGGTAAGCCTGCTTTATGCCGAGTGCAGTCACCGGCGAAGCAGGGAGGCAGTCTCTAGTGGCAGCAAATCACTGCCCGTCGGAGATGCATGCGCACGGCGGAACGCACGCCCAGGTGGTTATGCGTTCCACCGGAGTTCCGACCGCGCTATGCGCATGCGCGGTCTGAACTCCCCAAAATGGCGCCAGATCTTAAATGGATCTGCCTATTTATGCTGTGCAGATCTTACTGTCAGCATGGAGCTCGGCATTGAAGGTCTCCCGTGTCTTCAGCCCCTTTCCCTCTCCTCCCCCCCCTCACGGGTCAGAGGTTTTAGAGGTAAAGATTCTTTAAGTCTTGAATCTTTAAAACTCTCTATTTTTGTTGTTTCTACAAATATGGTTTATTTGCTTATTTATTGCAGATATGTCTAGTCCTGTCGCTACTGATAATATGGATAAAGACAAAGTGCCTGCACCTGCTTCTAAAAAAGCCAGTTCCAAAGTTCTCTGTTGTAGTGAATGCTCCACTCTACCAGATGGTTTTAAAAGGAAAGTCTGTAATATTTGCTCTTCTTTGACGCGAGAAAAATCCAAACAACAAGAGATGAAATCTTTTTTGTCTTGGTTTCAGGATAATCTGGCCCAGTCTTTTAAAGAGCCTGCACACACTTCTCCTGTAAAAGCTACTAAACAGAAGTCTAAAAGGAAGAGAACACCGTATAGTTCAGAACTATCCTCGGGTGACTGTTCTTTTTCTTATTCAGAATCCTCTAGCGACTCTTCTGTTACTGAAGTTGGTTTTCCTCATGATGAATTGAGAAAATTTATTAAAGAAGTTAATGTTATCCTTTCTGATGAAACGGTAGACAAATCCAAGGGTAAAGCACTTCCAGTCCAACAAAAAATGCTGGATTTGATATTTAGAGAATGGAAGAACCCTGAGAAAAGGGCTTTTATCTCCAGACATTTTAAAAGTATTGTTAAAATGGAGGAGGAAGATAAATGGGAAGAATTGACGGTAGTTGATGTACAAGTGGCTCAATTGTCTAAAAAAACCTACTATGCCTATTGGCGAAGTTTCTGGTCTGAAAGACCCTATGGATAAGAGGGCTGAAACTTCCAGCAGAAGGGCTTATCAGGATGCAGGTTTTCAGGCTAAAGCAGCATTAGCCAGGGCTTCAGTGGTGAGAGCTCAGAATCTTTGGCTTAACACTTTGGAAGATGGTCTGGGTGATCACCAAGACAAAGGCCTTTTCCCTCCTGTTCCAAAGGTTGTCTGAGTACCTTATGGATATTATCCTTGTCTCCTCCTACCGGTCGAAGTTAAAAAACCAAGCCCTTTTTTCTGCCACGGTCTCCCTATTAAGAAAAGGTGTGGTAGAAAGGATTCCAACTTCCCAAGTATATCAGGGTGTATACTCCTGGTTGTTCCTAGTCCCAAAACCAGACATGTCTTTTCGTCCAATCTTGGATCTAAACAAGCTCATTCTTTACCAACATTTCAGAATGGAGACTATAGCGTCTGTCACTCATCCTTCGAAAAGGAGATTTCATGGCAACTTTAGATCTAAAGGATGCCTACCTGCATATTCCTATGGATGTGAAATCAAGAAAAGGAAAAATGTCCATTTCCAATTCAGAGCCCTTCCATTCGGGCTAGCTTCAGCACCCAGGATTTTTACAAAGGTCCTCACACCTGTCACAGCTTTTTTGAGGATGCAAGGAATCACAGTACCTTACTTGGACGACTGGTTAATAAAGGCAGACTGAAGAGATTCGGTCTTCCAGTCATAGACCTTATGGCAAGAAGATCAAATGCAAAAGTAAGATCCTTTGCCTCCCTCTTCAAGGCAGACAAGCCGCTGGTAATGGATGGTCTTTCGATCCAGTGGGAGTTTCCCCTTGCTTAAATTTTCCCCCCAGTAAGCCTTGTCCCAAGGATTCTGCAAACGGTAACATCAAATCAAGCTCATATTCTGGCCATAATACCGTACTGGCCAAACCGCAGCTGGTTCTCGGTTTTAAAGAAGATGGCTTGAAAGTACTGGATTCTCCCGGTCACACCGGATCTTCTGGAAAACTAGGGAATTCCAGTAGAAGTATTGAACATGTTCAGGTTGACAGCTTGGCTGCTGCATGGCTAATATTACATAATAGGGGCATTAAAGAAGAGAGGTTTCAGTTAATGTTCTACCAGGAGCTCTACCTCTTCTATCTACTTAAAAATTTGGATGAGATTTCTTCACTGGTGCATAACTCATCGTTGCATAGGATCATCTCCTTCTATTGATCCCATCCTTAATTTTTTGCAAGATGGTCTTGCTCAAGGTTTTAGTCTGTCTACCCTCAAAGTCCAAGTTTCTGCTCTGTCATTTTTTAGTAAAAAATAAAATAGGCTTCTGATCCTCTCAGGAGATTTTTTAAAGCTGTAAGACTCGTAAAGCCTCCTAAGAAAATCTGTTTTCCCTCTTGATTTGTCTTTAGTTTTGAGATCTGTGTACTCAGCCTTTCGAACCTTTGGAAGAAGCTTCATTGAAGAATCTGTCCCTGAAGACCATGTTTTTGGTGGCCATTACTTTGGCTAAGAGGATAGGGGAACTCCAGGCCCTTTCTTCCTCTCCTGATTTTTACAAAATTTCTTCTGAATAAAGTGGTTATGTACCCTAAGCCTTCCTTTCTTCCAAAAGTCATCTCCTTCAAGGTTATCAACCAACCTATTTTTCTTCCTTCCTTTAATGGTCCATCTATGCCAGATTGGGAATTTGATTGGAGCCAACTAGATGTTGGTAGGTCTCTGAAAATCTACTTGGACCGCTCCTCTGCGTATAGGATGACTGATCATCTATTCGTAAGTTTCTTTGGAAATTTTAAAGGCCAAGTTGCCTCCAAGGCCACTTTGGCAAGATGGCTGGTTGATTCTATTAAATTGGCTTATTCTACCTCAAATCTTCCTCTGCCTGCCTCCTTGAAAGCACATTCTACTAGAGCCATGGCTGCCTCTTGGGCTGAAAAAGCGTGTGCCTCTCCGGAAGATATATGCAAGGCGGCTACCTGGTCTTCTTTCAACACTTTTGTCAAACATTACAGGCTAGACTTATTCTCTGCCTCTGACGCTGATTTTGGGCACAAGGTGTTACAAGCTGTTATTGCCTAAATTCCTGCCCTTAGTCTGAGATCTCAATATATCCCTATTGTACTGCCACCATATGTCAGGAAAAACTGTAATTTTACTCACCGTAAATTCCTTTCTCCTTAATATGGTGGCAGTACATCAATCCCTCCCTTTATGTGTGTATGTATGTATGTATATATATGTATGTGTATATGTATATATATGTATATATATATATATGTATATGTATATGTATATATATATAAATTTTTTGGGTGTTCTATGGATTCACTGAGGTGTTCTTGGTACGTACTGAGATCCCAGGGCTGGTTTGGTCTCTTATACCTGGTAAGGGTAGGAACTTTTTATGTTAATTATTTATTTAAGATGCTTGTCCCTATTGTACTGTCACCATATTAAGGAAAAAGGAATTTACGGTGAGTAAAATTATTTTTTATTTTTTATTTTTTTTTATCTGGCTGACCAAAAGCTGCAAAAACTTGCCTACTGTAGTTATTGTTCTACATTAAACGGCGGCAGCCAGGCCAGTTAGGTTGAGCAGCCGTTGGACGGATAACAGTAGAGTCTGATGCAACACCTGAGTGCATGTTCTAATCTTAAGAAAACCAGTATTGTGCTGATGAACTGGGCACAGCTGGAGTTATTTACAAATCTATCACGTGTTGACATAAAACGCTTGGTCCGAAAGAGCTAGTTATTGTAATCGGAGACTAGAAAGTATGGAATGAAATAAAAAATGTGTTTGAGTAGATTTGTACATTCTGTTAATTTCTCTAACACGTGACATGATGTCCTTACCTGTCTGTCTTAATGCATTTTTAAGTAACACATTTCATTTCTTGTGCAGTTTCCTAGTTGGGGATGAACTGTTTGTTGTAATGGAATATCTAGCAGGTGGGTCTCTCACAGATGTAGTAACAGAAACCTGTATGGATGAAGCACAGATTGCAGCTGTGTGCCGGGAGGTGTGTACCACTATCTTGATTTAACTTTGCGATTATTAAAATCAATTAATTTTCAAAGCTGAAAAGGAAACTTTACCCTAACTAGGGTTAAAATATGCTAACCATATGAGTAAATGTCACATTTTGTGCTGAGAGAAAGTTTACCTACCAGCGCTAAACAAAATGCTTTAAAAACATGATGCGTACTTGAAGTCCCAAGATTCGCAACTTCTGCTATGAACAGGAACACTGCCACTTTTGTTTAAAAATAAATAAAAAAAATTTAAAAATTGGGATGTTTTACATGGGTGGTTTAAAATGACAGGACCACTGCACTCAGACTTAATTGAAGTGGTTTGAGTGACTTTAGTGGTCCTTTTTAAATGCAAGCTTTTCACATGTCTCTTACACACTGATAGAGCAGTTCAGTTTTTAGTTGAATGCATTGGCAGATCTGTTTGCAACTATCTTAATTAAAAAGTAGTAACTAGAAATTGCCTGGGTTCCATTTACTATTTTTTTCCCAAGGCCACTTATGAGTGCCACGTCAGAACAAACTATTTTTCATCATAGTTATAAAAGAATGCCAATAGTGTTAGAACAGCACATCTATACATGTTTAGGAAGTGATGTACTGATCCACAGAAAAGGAACCTGCAGATTTGGATGAAAGGGGGAATACAATAAACGAGATTCTAAAACGTATTAATGTATCACACATATTGTTAAATATCTGGCTGTGCACAAAATGCATATGATGAATAAATTACTTTTCCTAGTACTAGTCATTATTTTAATTTTATTTGGGTGTTTTAGGATCTGATAAAATCCCAATATAAATATCATGAAAGTTTATGAAGTTTATTTAATGGCACCTATATACTTTGAAATTACTGATGTGTAATGATTTGTCTCTATTTTTGTTGTAGTGTTTGCAAGCCCTAGAGTTCCTCCATGCAAACCAGGTTATCCACAGGGATATCAAGAGTGACAATGTGCTTCTAGGAATGGATGGGTCTGTCAAACTTAGTGAGTATAGGCCTTCCATGAATTGGAAAACTGACTTGCAACATAAAATCTTTTGTGATTTCTTTCTTTATTCATTAATTTTCCAAAACTGTGTCAGAAGAAAGGTATTTTACATCTAAGCAGATTGCTTTAAACCTGTTTTGGTGTATTCAGCAGTCAATCCTAAATCAAGATGATGTCATTTATGGGGTGGTTTAAAATGCATATATCCTAAGATGAAGGCACACTAAAGGTCAATGAAGTAAAGATTCAATATTCTATAATATAATAACTTGGGAGTTACGCAACATGCACTACTGAATAGGATAAAAGGAAACTATTAGGACTACTTGTATCATGATTTTTGCAAGTGATTATAGTGCTTGGAGTGTCCCTATATTCATGACCTGAACAATCTTTCTACAGCCGACTTTGGCTTCTGTGCACAGATCACCCCAGAACAAAGCAAGCGTAGCACGATGGTTGGAACCCCTTACTGGATGGCTCCTGAAGTAGTTACCAGGAAAGCATATGGTCCTAAAGTAGATATATGGTCTCTTGGTATCATGGCCATTGAGATGGTTGAAGGAGAGCCACCTTACCTCAATGAAAACCCTCTAAGGGTAAGTTGGTGTGCATCTATTGTCTCAAGTGATAATCGAAGTACATTTTGTTCATTGTCTGTAAGCTTTTGATTTCTCTCACTAGGCATTGTATTTGATTGCTACTAATGGAACCCCAGAACTGCAGAATCCTGAAAAGCTGTCCCCTATATTCAGAGATTTCCTGAACCGCTCTCTGGAAATGGATGTGGAAAAGAGAGGATCAGCTAGAGAGCTCCTTCAGGTAAGTACAATTTAAATTTAAAAAAATTTAATATTCAAATGGAAATATTTTGTTCCTGATTAATAGAGTTTAGGGCTGATCCTGGGGGTGCATAGGGAAGGTAGAAGGGTGCAGAGAGGAACAAGCCAGTGGCCTGTCACAGGGGGCCCAGGAGATGGCCACCTTAAGTAGCTTCCGAAGCAGGTAGCTGCCACTAAGGCAGAGTAGGCACCTGCTTAGCTGGACGGCAGGTGCCTACTCTGCCGAAATATATTGGTGGCAAGGGAGCGCTGATCTTACAATTACTCACTGGTCCCTTGCGAGCCCTGCAATGATCCCAGGAGTCAAAATATGTAATCACTGAACATCTATAAAGCCACTGGACCCTAGGGAGAGGATCCACACCAGTTTACCCAAAGTTAAAATTAAATAAAATTAATTTGTCAGTGTGTCTGTCTACAAAAAGGGGTGTGGATTATAGATGGAGAGGTGGAGTCTTTGCCAATGAAACATGCATGTCTGGACTGGACATTTGCAAAAGGGAGGGGTTGGTAAGATGACCATACCCACCTGGGGACACCCACAAATATTCTTCACCTAAGCATTTGTGACCCTAAGATCGACCCTGACCGTTACACCTTAAAGTTGTTTTTATGTCTTATGACTTATTGCCAAAAAAAAGTTTGTTTAGTACTTGCCCATGTGGTGCTAGGTTTGTGAATTATAAAATTGTTTTGATCAACTTATTTCTAGTTAAGCTTGTACAGTTTTTAACTGACAATTTTCTTCTCTTTTGTTTTTGTTTGTTCTTCACATAGCACCCGTTTTTGAAACTCGCAAAACCACTGTCCAGCCTGACTCCTCTAATCCTGGCTGCAAAAGAAGCAATGAAAGGCAATCGTTAATGGACTGCCTGTTATCCTTTCGTCCATGGCCTTCTTCTCACTTGCCCTACTCCCTTTTTAACCACCTCAATATTCTTGAAGTGCCACTCCTACCCATGTCACATGGACATCGGAGACAAGGGTAGGAATAAAAGTCTCCTGTGAAGGAACAGATAAAATGCTATGTATTCTTCCCTTGCCGTGAAGATGAAAATACTGAACGTCATAAGAGAAGGAAACTGATCTCTCCAAATTTTGTGTGTGTTCCTTCCAGGAAAAGAAAATTTCTTAAATTTGTGGCCTTTTGAAAATCCCTGAGATTTCTAGGGAATTGACTGCATTATGGAAATAGTTTTTGTATGTCTTCTCTTTTCCTTGGAGGGCATTGCTCCTTTTTTTTCCTTTTTTTCTGGCCTTCTCTTGATACTTGAATAACTCTCACACAAGTGGTGAAGCCTTAATGTTCTTTCTCTGCTGACTCCTCAGATTCTACTTCCTCTTCGGGTGCCTGGATATGTTTTCTTATAAAGGAAAGAGGTGCTTTTATGCTGTCTATCAACTTATCATATGCTTATTGCATAAGCAGGGCAAAAATGACAACTGATTTACAGGCAAGAAATGTAGCCAACGGTTTTCATGTCAGTGCTGCCAGCTATTATTTGGAAAGCAATATGTTGGATTTGCAGGCATGACAAATATTTCCACACAACCTGAAAAGTTCTCTCTTCCATTCTTTTTGTTTCTACTTTTATACAAAAGAGAAGTGGGTTCAGGAAGGGATGCAGAATGGATCTGATACCAGTTTTTGAGAATAGTGCTGTAAATGTTCTGTGTTGGCCAAAATGGTGTTGTGTGGGGGAGGGGGAAGATCATTAATGTACATAAAATAGGGGACTAATATTTGAAATGTTACCAGTTTTCCCATGTGTCAAGTGCTCTAAGCACACTGATCTTTGTATTGTCTTTACAAAAGTTATTAGTTTATTTCCTCCCCCTGCCCCCTTTTACATCCATCCATCCATCTTTCTTTAATTTAATGAGATGTAGTGCCAAAGTTAAATCTGCGTTACAAGATACTCCCTCTCCCCTAAAACCGATGCCTGTATATTAATTTAACTACTAAAGAAATTTAGTTTAGAAACTATTTTTTTTCCTCTTCTCAAAATTGAAGTGCCTATTTTATCTTGTTCATTTTAAGTAATCGATATACCAATCTGCTAATGTTCTCTGTGTAATTGTTGGGTTAATTTGCACTTCTGTGCAACATCTGTGTAAAAAACATTGTTTATAAAATAACTTGTAATACATACATTGCTTTTTAAAACCGTAGAAGTGATGTATCCCATACTTGTGTCAATGCAAATAAATCCAGCAATTTCTACTTGAGATAAGCATTTTCTTAAGCTTGTGATAACCAGCTAGTACTGCTCTTTTACATTGGTTAGTTATCTGACAAATGTGTTTTCTTCATACATGTGAACAAAAGGGAATTGTAGTTCCATGTTGTATACCAGCTCCTCCTTATGTTTGGTTTTTCTATTCTTTAAAGAACTGGATAACAAACCAGCCGCACATAGTAAATGTCACATATCAAAGAGGCTAGAGAATAGTATGTGTATACAGTTTGTGGAAAATTCAGTGTATTTAAAAATCCAGGGCTCATGACTTGACTGGGAAAAAAAACAAAAAAGATTGCCTGGTGTGGTTCCTTTCATTGTGTTTTCATGCTAAAAGCAATAACTCATATGCCACAGTTTATATTTAATTAAACCAATGAATTGTAGAATATATCCTGTCTCTTGGCACTGAAGGAGTTAAAATAGCTCTCAACAGTTTCTTTACATTCTATTGGATGACATGGGCCCGATGCTAAACTGCATACATGCAGCAAAATTCATTTCTTTTTTTCTTTCTACTTTACTGTTAGAGGCTACTGACTCAACCACTTTAGCTTTTTTTTTTTTTTTTAAACTTATGTCTTATCCGTGCATATGTAATCTGACCTGATTGATTATGAATGTGAACAGGTGCATGGATGTAATCTTTTCATGATTCTTTGAAAGTGCGATGTTTAGCACTGATATAGATGTAACTATTCAGTTACAAGGGTTTTTTTTTTTTTTCTCGTTTTTTTTTTTCTCCTTTACACACCACATCAGTATGGTCCATTCACACTTCAGACGTTTTTGAGATGTTCTGAGAATTGCACATGTGGTTGACAATTTCTCAGAGCCTACATTATGCTATTTATTTTTACTGGGAGCTCTATCCTGTCTGTGTCCATTTATGATCCATAAAATAAGTGCTTTGAATTGCAAACTGATTCAGAATACAATCTCTATCTTATGAATATGATTTTGTTGGTACTTTACCAGCAAATTGTCAATGAGATTCAGACCCTGGTACTGTGTGGATACTGATCTATGACAAATCATACGGTATCTGAACAAAGTCTAAGGACGGTTAGTACATTTATTTGAGTAAAATTTTAGAAGGCTTTGCCTCTCAAATTTGAGGTGTGTAAATAGCTAGAGTCTAATTGTTACAAGGCTGTACATAGTCAGTCTTTGATTTTTTTTTTTTGATTTTTTTTTCCTGTAGGGTAAAGCATTAATTTGATATAGGGGATATGGTTAGTTTTATATTTTATTTTTTTTATTTTTGTAACCACATCTATTTCCTTATTATCCTTGAGAGAAACAAAGGGAGATTTTCATTAACAGTGTGTATTGATCTAGACATGTAAGTAATGCCATGTAAAACTGAGTGTCTCACTTAAATGTCAAATCTCTTTTTACAGCAGTTTCTCTAAGCCCTGTAATAGTCTGCACAGTGTGCAGGTCTGACTGTGTACTCAAGGTGTATGCTGTAACCACTCCAGTCTCCTCTATCTTGGAATCTACAGAACTATTTGTATTTCGTTTCTACCCCCCTCTCAGGTTCACCTTTGCCTTTAAATAGCCTTTTGCATGCAGATATTTCTTACTTCTTCTTGAAACCCCATCCAGCAGTTCTTTCTTTTTGCCCTTCTGTTTAATTTAATCCCATCTTTATTTAATTGTTAATTTTTACGGCAATAACTACTGAATCATTTGTGTGCGTCGTCTTTGCTTGGAATAAACTTTTTTGTTTTATTTTAATACCATTGTTTTTTGTGTTTTTTTTTCGGATATGTGCATGATTTCAAATTATATTCTAAAGCAGTTTGCTTTATGTGTGTGTATATTCATGTGTATATACACTGAATGGACAAAAGTATTGGAATACAGCTCTTAATTATTGATTTTAGGTGTTTCAATCAGACCCATTGCCACAGGTGTATAAAATAAAGCACTTTTAGTCATGCAGTCTGCATTTTCAAACATTTTGTGAATAAAATGAGTAGTTTCAAATAGCTCAGTGAATTCAATCGTACTGTGGTAGAATTCCACCTTTGCAATAAGTCGGTTCGTGAAATTTCAATCCTGCTAGATATTGCACAGTCAACTGTAAGTGGTATTATTGGAAAGTGAAAGCGTTTAGGAACAGCAGTTACTCCAGTTAGTTAAGACCACTTAAAGGAGCACTATAGGGTCAGGAACACAAACCTGTATTCCTGACCCTATGGGGTTAAAACCACCATCTAGGCCCGCTGGTCCCCTCATGGCTCCCTAAATATAGTTAAATCTTACTTGTATTCAAGTCTGCAGCTGCTGGCTTTGTCCCGGTTTCCTTTAGACTTGCTTCCTGACATCAGCAGAAGTAGTAGCCTGATCGAATCACAATGCTTCCCCATAGGATTGGCTGAGACTGACAAGGAGGCAAATCAGGGGCAGAGCCAGCACAATTTAAACACAGCCCTGGCCAATCAGCATCTGCTCATAGAGATGAATTGAATCAATGAATCTCTTTGAGGAAAGTTCATTGTTTGCATGAAGAGGGAAGAGATACTGAATGTTTGGATGCATTCTAGGCAGCCATGACCGAGGAAGGATCTCTAACAGCCATCTGAGGAGTGGCCAGTGACGTTATCACTAGGCTGTAATGTAAACACTGCATTTTCTCTGAAAAGACGGTGCTTACAGCAAAATGCCTGAAGGTAATGATTTTACTCACCAGAACAAATTCAATAAGCTGTAGTTGTTCTGGTGACTGTAGTGTCCCTTTATAATCAGAGTGCTGAGGGGCATGGTCTGACTAATAGAGGAGACAAAATACACATAACTAACAGAATGAGGTATAGGGAGGAAATCCGGCGAACGCCTCCACGAAACAGACATCCCAGGTCTAACTCAAACAACCGACTGACACAGAGATCTAAATAACGAGAGCAATCCCTAAGAGGTGGCTCACAAGACTGAGAAAGAGTAGTTAGGAGGAAACTTGGACAACCGGAAAGACTGACAAAAAAATCCTCTATACCAAATAGAACGATTAGGAACCCACTATACATTAAAGAGATAACTGAACAAACCGATCGTGACCTCCCTTTATGCAGTATTTTTAAACCCTTAACACCACAGCCTGTTGATGTGGATTTGGGCACATACAATTGAGGAGGAGACACAAGGACAATCCCTCATAACCTATGTCTCCAGGGAAGAGAAGATGCAGTTTAGAAGGGGAACTAGAGGAGTACACCTGTATAAAAGAAAGGTGTGAGAGACAGCGAAATTGAATTTTCAAAAGAGAGCTGATTCCAAGGCAGGAGAAACTATTGTAAGAGGACTGAAATTTGCTCCTACAGAACCACTAGACAAATTCAGTGTATATCTAGATCTGAATAGGTTCAAATGGAATTCTGTCTATTTCTGAAACAACCAATGTTTAGAACTGAAGAACAAATCAAATATACAGGTGTAATACACCCTGGAGACAGCTCCACCAGATGATGCGTGATGTCAATAAGATGAAGAAAAATGAAATCTCAGGAATATAATTTGAGCTTTTTAGAATGAAACCGTTAAGAGAGGATAGAACTATAGTCATTAAACCTGCCGATTAAAGGCGGGGGGATTGTAATACTTGATATTGAGGATTATATAAATGAGGCACTTAGACTACTTAAAGATGATAGAACTTACTGTATTTTAACGAAGGATCCAACAAAAGATATTAAATTGAGGTATTTTAAATCAGAATTAGTATGTTTTTAAATGACCCCCAATTCCTGTTTTTTTTTTTTTTTTACATCCCTAAGGTACACAAGAATAAAAATAAACCATATAGTTTCTGGGATAGAATCAATATAGAGTAAACTGTACCAGTATATCGACAAATGCCTTCAACCTATTGTATGTAACTGTCCATGTTATTTGAAAGACACCCTCAACATTTTGCAAGTTCTTAACAATTGTGGGTGGAACAATGAGTGTTTAGTAACAGCCGACATCCACTCACTATACACTATTATTTCCCATGACAAGGGATGTCAAGCCACGAGATTTTTATTTTTTTTAGAATCACATCAATTTTATTATACATTGTATTTTTACAAATAGCTCATTTTTTTTTATTTTTTTTTTATAAATTTGTGGGACAACGATTGGCACAAGGTTTGGGCGTAGCTATGCAAATGTATTCAAGTCACTGTGGGAACATATATTTATCCATAGTGGGTTGCGAATAGCATGGTCTATCGCCATTACATAGACAACATTTTTTTTAAATATATATATATGAGATGAACCATCTCTAGTCACTTTTTTTAACCTATTTAAATTGTAATGACTGTGGTATCACATTAGTAAAACGTCGGTGGACTTTTTAGATCTTAACATTTATGTAGATGGTAACTCAGTAACAACCTGAACTTTCTTCAAAAAGGTAGACATCAACAGCTACATAGGGGAGAAGAGTTGCCACGTCTCTCAGTGGCTGTTGAATGTCCGTAAGGTACAACGTTTGCGCATCAAACACAACTATACTGACGATGTAAAGTTTAAAGAACAGGCAAGTAGGATAATTATTTAAAAGAAAAAGCATACCAGGATAAATTATTCCAGTCCGCCTATAATGAGGTAAGAAGTAAAGATAGGAGTTAATTAATAAAATATAAAGATAGAACTAAAGACATAGACTATCAGCACTTATTTGTGATTTTAATTGTAAAAGTAGACCATTAAAGAAAATTATCAGCAAATATTGGCCAATTAAAAAATAAATCGTTAAAAAAAAATTACACCATCTAAAAAAAATTATACTCTCCAAAAAAAACACCATAACCTATAGGGGTGGGCAAAATATACAATTTAGAATTTAGTGCAAAACCATATACCACAAAGGGGATTAAAAATAGATTTAAAATTATTTTTTTTAACAAATCTAATGGATTTTACGGCTGTGGCTTATGTGGGGCATGTAAGAATTCAAACAGCAAAAAAAACGAATAAAAGAATTGACACCCACAAGATTATATATTTTTTTAATAAATTAAACAAATGATTACATGCCACTCCACCAGAGTAATCCTATATGATCACCTGTTCTTGTGGTCTAGCATATATAGGCAGAGCCACAAGGGCACTCCACACTAGAATCCAAGAACATGTGAGGAACATTAGAAATGGTTTTGAGAAAGGGTTTCCTTACATTTTAATTGGACACTCCAGGCACCCAGACCACTTCTGCCCCTTGGAATGGTCTGGGTGCTGTGACCCTTTTGCACTTAGTGCTGCAATGTAAAACATTGCAGTTCCAGAGAACTGCAATGTTTACATTACAGCTCTGTCTGCCCCCCAGTGGCTGTCTACCAGACAGCCACTGGGGGGTGCTTCCGGGATCCAAATAAAAATGGGCATTCATAGAGCTTATGGAACTGGCTGGCAACTGCAAACAAAGGATGTAATTGGCAATTTAGCTGAGAAGCAAATAGATCTACTTGGAAAGGACCCCAGAGTTGATTAAACCTTTGGGAAATCGAATGATCCAACTTTTAGTCGCTGTAATAGTGGAGAAACATTGAGCTTGTATCCGCTATCATGTTGGATTGACCTGGAAGATATTCTGCATATAGCATAATGTCTCGATCTAGACAGAATACCAAACATCTTTTGCAAGTTCCACCAATTCTTTGGATTTCCTGCCTCTCCATCTATTTATGTATTTGACTGCTGATATGTTGTCCATCTTTAGGAAAACACAGCAGTGAGTCTTGTCTTTGAAACTTTTTAAGAAACCCATGAGTAGCTACAGGCAATTGTGTGTAGAGATGTCTCTTTAGGTGAGCATTTCCCTCCTGTGGAAGATGCTCCATAGTGAGCTCCCGAACTGAGGCAGCTTGCATCCAATTCAATTACAAGGTCAGGAAGAGATGTGTTTTAGCCACCAGCGAAGTTTGTCTCTTGTGTCTGGGATTCAAGTGATTTAATCAGAATATCTTAAACCCTCTCGCAAATGTAGTAGTGGAGCAGTAAATATTGTTTGGATGAAGCGATTCAAAATTCTTGTTGAGAATCTATAGATTTCCCTGTAAATGGTCCTCAATTTGCGACCCGGAATGTTGAAGACCCACTGCATGAGATTCTACAGTGAAATATAGAAACTATATCGTTTGAGAGGAAAACTATATCGTTTGTGAAAACCCAGTTTCATAAGCAGGGGAATGGCCCAATTCACAAGTAGAATAAGTGTGGATTTTGATTAGCTTTTAGTAGTTTGGTAAAACACAAAGGTGTTGAAGACAGGCAAAAATGAAGGCAAGTAAATTGCCATTTAATTATTTTCCAAATGAACTGAAGGTACTTAATGATTGTGAGTAAATGGGTACTGTCAAGTAGGCATCCTTGAAGTGTATGTTGATTAACCAATTGTTCTGTTTTAATAGATCTCTGAGAAAATGGGTCCCCTCCATTTTGAAATGATTGTATTTTACAAAAGCATTTAACAAACTCAGGTTTACATCTTTTTTTTTTTTATTATTATAAAAATATTGCTAAGATAAACTGGGGGATGATGGGGGGGAGAGCTCTGATTGCCCATTAATGTTTTAGTTCTCAAACTTGTTTTCTAATGATGTTTGATAAGATTTGGCATGGGTAATTATGGAATTTTATTCAATAGCTCCAAATTGTGTTTAGTATCTAAGAATCTGGTGTGATTTTTAATAAAGTGTGGAAAAATGTGTAAGTCTGCCACCCAAGTTCCCCAGGGGGAAAAAGGA